CTGCAGGGTTCATGCATTTGCATTTCTGCTCCCTCCTCCCTACCGTTTTTAACGTGTTGCCCCTCCGGCCGACGTGCCCCTGTGCTTTGTGTACACTAGCCACAGCATGAGGCTGGCTGCCACTAGCAGAGAGCCCCTGGAGGTTGGGATTCTGGCCCATCTCAGTGCACAGGGGTTCGGGGGAGAGCAGCGTAGGTAATGGAAGGGAAAGAATGCACATTTGGAGGTTAGCTGGCTGTGACTTCCCCCCCCCATGTCGAGCGCTGTGCGAGTGATTACCACGGATTGCCAGACAATTGGCAAATCTGGCATCAGTGAATCAAGTGTTTCACGGTGTAGCCTTCACCTGCTGCGTATCGGGATTATTCCCTTGAGGCTGTTAACCGAAGTGATGTGTCCAGAGCTCTGGCCTTTGTCTTTTTTGGAGGTTCTGTCATCCTCCAACCATGTTTTTTCTCCCATTCAAATACGAATGGGATGATCAGACCCATCCTTGACCCTTCCAAAGCTTAGAGGTTGATAACTTATCGCTTTAGTGTGATTAGCTTATAGGTTCCTGATCTCTCTCCTGCTGATGAGATCTGAGCATTGTGGGCTAGTCCATGGGCCTTAGCTGTGTCTGAAGGACGTTGAACAAAGCTGGGCAGATCCTGGTGAGAGACCAGGTCCAGCGGCTGCACTTAATCATTGCACTTGGATCCAGAGGTAGGATGAAGCAAGGAAGACCATTGTTCTGCCATACATCTAAGATGGAGGGGCAGTGTATGGGGGCGCCTCACCCCTGGAGTGTCCCTGGCGGCCTGGTGCAGCATTGCATGTGTGTGTCTGCCTCAGTTTCCCCTAATGGGCTTCAGTGAGGCCAATGAGGGGACCCTCACCCCTGGAGTCTCCCTGGTGGCCTGGTGCAGCATTGCATTTGTGTGTCTGCCTCAGTTTCCCCTAATGGGCTTCAGTGAGTCCAATGAGGCTCATGTATGTTGAACAGTGCCCCGTCAAGGGTCTAGTTTATTTAACTCGAAGGTGTTATACAAATAGGCCCCCACCTCAGCATTTCTAGCTGAAGGGGAGAAGGGCTGAGTTAATCATGGTCCATCAACCCCACTTATGTCCAGCTCCCTTACCAGCAAGGTCCTCTTGGTCTCGGAGCTTCTTCTGGAGCCAGGGCCTCTCGTCATCAGCTGGGGAAGGGCTTCTCCTCTTGGGTCGGGGTCCCCACAGAGATCAAACTGTGACAACCCTTCCTTGGAACAGCCTGTAATCCCTCCGATCTAGGACTTCTGCTGCGCACGGTGAAGTGCTTCCGTGGGGCCAAGTTCTGCCGAGACGCAGCATTCGTAGCACTTCCCTTTCGGAGCCTCTTCCACCCAGCATCAGGATTCCTTTCCTGGTGAGCCTCCTCCCCAGGCTCCCCGGAGAAGCCCTCCCCTTGGGAGCTTCCCTTCTGTGCTGTGGAAAATTGTTCCTCTCCCCAGGAGTCCCTGGTCTCTAGCTCACCCCAACTGGGAGAAGCTGCCTTTTATCAGGCCCAGGTGCTTTCCTGCCTAATTAATTGCCTCCCAGTTACTCAGTGAGTTAATTAGTCCCAGGTGAACCTGAATGGCCACCTTGCCCCTGTGGAGTCTGTCAGAGGTAGGCTGAGCCCCTGCCCCTTACTCCAGTCGTCAACATGCGGCGGGGCTGGTTCCCCACCAACTTGCCCCTTGTGTTTCAGGCCTGGATCAAAGAGAATGTAAAATGCTGCTAAACCCAAATTCTCCACTGACTCACTTTGTACTGGTGTAAATGATGGCACAAGGTGCAGGACCGCGGTGAACAGGCCCAGTGACTCTTGGGCTAACGGTGAGATTGTCCCAGGAAAGTTGGGACGTCTGCCTAATTGACAGAGGCGTGCTGCCTAGTACTGGAGGGGGCTGGTATGTGCAGAAGGAAAGAAGGAACTTTTCACCTTGAGTAGCTCTGCTTAGCACAGGCTTTCCTCTGAAGCACCGTAGACCCAAATTCAGCTGGAGAAGGTCAGCAAAGGATCCCAAGTTCCAGGGCCATGCAGGGACCCACAGTATTAGCCCTGCTGCGTTTGAGGTCTAGTCTTGTAAAGAAGCTATGTCCATGGAAATGGAAAGGCTGACATGTGTGTTTCTTCTGTTGCAGATGGAGCTTCCATTCCTGGAAAGGTAAATGCCTGTCTCACTTTGGGCGTGGGGGGTGGAAGGCTATTTCCTTACACTTTCAGTGCACGTGGGTGTTGGCAGCTGTGCGGGAGCATGAGCCGTCCTGTGCGCACCTTGCTCGAATGAGAAGATTCTGCTCGTGCTTACGCATGTCCTAAACCAGCATCTCTGTTGTAGAATCGCCGGGCTCAGGAGGTTAGTATTGGAGCCTCTAGCTCACCAGACACAATCCAGCCCTGGTCAGTAGCGACCAGAAGTTGCGCCATCTGATGGCTGTTTGTTTAGTCTGTGTGAACTAAGTTTGGTCTTGATCCAGTTCCTAGGGGACAGCTGCCCACATCTCAAAAGCTGTCCCCACAGTTGTTGCTAACCGCACCTGTAATGTTGACAGTCTCATCAGAGAAGCCAAGGACTGTGTGGGCCATTGGTAAGGCCCTTCGTTTTCAGTTTTTATTTTATTTAATTTTTTCCAAGAATTTGTCAGTGTTTATAACCACAACAACAAAAACAGGTGAAAATCAGTGCAAAAAACTATTAATTTTTCTGGGTAAATATCGGGGTTTATTTTGGTGGACGGAAGGACAGGAGGAAAAAGTGTTCAGTAGCTGAATGCTTTGATGAGTGGAATTCAATGAGGTTTGCTGCAGAACTAAAACAGAACTCAAAACACAATGCCACCTTGGAGTTTAAGAAAACAATAGATCTGTAATCCCCAAATAAAACTTTTCCTTTGAATGAACAGTTTACTGTTGTAGACTTAGAACTATTAGCCTATAAATATTTACATTTAATAATTGGGACACACCATTTGCAGCACATACACTCAACTTCATCCTTTTCTCCTGTTTTTTGTTTTTGGTTTTGTTTTGTTTTTTTAAACTTTTGAATACTTCCTTGTGTTCTGAAGCGTAGTCTGAGACAGATTTTCGTTTTCTTCCCATTTTAGTGTGTCAAATCTTTAAACCATTATCTGCTAACAGCTTGAAATGTGTACATGGTGGGCATGAGATTCATCAGTACGTTCAGATGTGCACACACTTCAGAGCTTGCATGCCTGCCTGTTTGTTTACTGTGTGTATCTTCTAGACTAATACATAGCCTTACTTCAACAGGCAGCTTTGCATATACACACAGACTAATGTATTATTGTAATACATATAGCTCATGTGATGTATTGTATTTTCCTAATAAAACATGTTATTTTATTTATATTTGAATGATACAAAAGTAGGGTGAAAATCAGAAAAAAATGAATAATACTTTTTGTAAAGCTCAGGAATTTTTTGGTAAAAAACGGTTTAAACTGAAAACGAAGGGGCTTAGCCATTGGTAAATAACACCCCTCTGACCCCTAGAGGTCATCCCAGCCAGATGGTGCTGGAGGTACAAACCATGCCCTCACTCGCCCATGTGCATCTGTGCTTTGGCTAATCAGAAGTTCAATGCAATTGTGGAAGCTGGAGATGGAAAAACCTACCAGCTCAGCTAATCACTGTCCTAGAAGACAGTGCAGGATTTCTAGTGTCTTGTCTAGCCTAGTTCTGCAAGTCCTATTCACTGTCCTGATGCCTCTAGTATGTTTCACTCAGAGGATGTTCTTGATAGTCAGCCAACGTTTTTCTTGACTTCATCACATCACCCCTCGTTCTACCCCCCGCCTTGCTAATAGTTCCTCTCCCTCCTTGAAGTTTATATCCCTCATCTGTTTGTAGGCTGTTACCACGCCTTGTCCTTAGTTATCCCTTAGCTGTGCTCTTTTAATCTTTTCTTACAAGTCAAGCCCGCTAGCTCCCTGATTAATTTTGCTGCTCTTCTCTGGCCTGCCTCTCTCTTGGTGCTGTATTGCTTGTAACATGGTGCCCCAAGCAAATGCAGTGTCCAGGAGCAGGTGGCTGAGGCTGGTGAGAGGAGCACTTCTCTCTTTGCTCCCTGACATGATTCTTTTGTGTGTGCACCACCAAAAGTGTCTCTCTCTTTTCTTGGTGCTGGGTTGGCGGTGGGGGTTGCTGTGTTGCTCTCTGAGGGATGTTGTGTGTTACTTGCATGTGCCATCCTGATCTGTAATGGCTTCGCATCTCCGATGGATCCCAGAGACCATTCAGCGAAGCGATGAGATCACTGATTGTGGATTCTCTCTGTGTCCTTCCCCCAGGTGTGCAGAGAGACTTGAGCACTCCAAGGTGTCCCTGCTGGAGTTCCAGAAGTTCTTGCTGGAGTATCAGATGGTGAGCTCCCCAAAGGGCAAGCGAGAGTGGAGAAAGGGGACTCCGCTATCCTCTGATACGAGCCATCTGTAGGGAGCTAGTGTCCAAAGGGTGACTCTGATCTGGCAGTGCTGGGTGCTTGGGTAACGGCATGCTCTGCCCCGGAGGCAGCCCTGGGAGCACAACACTTCCTGTCAGGAACAGCGGCTGGTTAAGGAAGAACACTGACCATCTTAAGAAGGCATCTCATCCGGCCATCCGGGTCTGGGAGCAGGGGAAAGTAGTGTGGGGAGATCCTAGTCAAATACTTGGGGAGCATGGCGGTTCCATGAAGGAGATGGGGGGATAGCTCAGTGGTTTGAGCATTGGCCTGCTAAACCCAGGGTTGTGAGTTCAATCCCTGAGGGGGCCATTTAGGGATCTGGGGCAAAAATCTGTCTGGGGATTGGTCCTGCTTTGAGCAGGGGGTTGGACTAGATGACCTCCTGAGGCCCCTTCCAACCCTGATATTCTATGAAGAGGGTTTGGTCTAGGCTTTTAGATCAGTCAAAAGGGTTAAGGTAGCAGAAGCGCTGCTTGTCCCTGCCTGTCTGCTCAGGAGAGTGGTTGTGACTGCCTGCAGAGTCTGACAGGCAATTGATTGATTTTATCGCTGACTTTTCTTTTTAAAGTGCATCTTCTAAAGCAGTAAGCTAACACATGTGCTGTGTATTTTGCAGACTGTGCAACCTCTCTCTATCTAGGTTCATAAATGGCACCCACCACTGTACTATTGCCCTCATTAATGCAATCGTGCAAATTAAACTTCATGCTCAGGGGCCCTGGCAGTTAGAGCACGCACTGGAGAACCTAGCTGACTGCAGTAACCATGTGCCCTCATTGTTGATATGGGTTGTAACTACAGTGAGAATACTTAATATTTCATAGCATGGAGCTCCCGCCTTGCAGTGACCCCGTGTGTGCCTCTCTGGCTGCCACTCTGCAGCCAGCAGTTAACTAACCTGATCTCCCTGGCTGACCTAATGAAAGATGCTGATGTGCCAGGAGAGAAATTGACAAAAAGGAGCCAGGTTGGCTTCTGTTGCCTTAGACCCAGGGTGTGGAGGGAGGTGTATCTGGGTGAGGAGCATTTTTCGGTAGCAGAGGACAGCATGAGCAGAGAGAAATATATCTGAAATCCTAAAAATCATAAGATCTAATTAACAATGGGGAGGGTTTCTTTGGTTGAGTTCACTGTTGGTTTACTATTAGTTTACTTGATTTGTATTAACAATTAAATTCCCAATCCTGGATCCTTTTCCCTTGAGACCCCTTTTTAATTTAAATCAGCAAATTAAATGAACTCAACGTGGTTTTTAAATGGAAGCTTCTGAAAATGTTCATTTCACACAAAGCAAAACTCTTCCTTTCCCCTCTCTATGTTTGCAGGAACTCTGGGCTACAGACATCCTCCAGGTTCAGGAGTTCATGTTTAACTTTCTGAGAGACCCCCTGAGAGAGATTGAAGAGCCTTATTTCTCTCTGGATGAGGTGAGGCTCTGAGGAAGCTATTGGTATAAAAAATGGGGTTGAGGGAGGACTCAGAATAGTCAGTTGATCTAGTGTTCTTTATAGGAAGTGTGCCCTTACCTCTGCCATGTGTAATGCTGCTTGAAGGGTCCAAGTCTCTCTTGCATAGCATTGCTGCATGTGATCATCCCGATGAATAGCTGGCACTCGATTGTTACCGCGTTGCACAAGGGAATTTAAATGTCCCAATTCCCTGTGATTGGGACCAAACATTGGGCATTTGAGCTCCCCACCAGAATGCTGCATGGGGCTCTGTCTGGTTGTGCTGATTTTGCAAGGTTAGGAAGACCCCTTGGGGTAGAGAATTATTTGTTTAATTGAATTATTTGGTGATTATTAATAATAATCTTGCCACGTAATATAGTCTATTCGTTGACAGAGATTAAATAAGGTTTCATGTCCCTGGCTATGTGTAAATATATTTAAAGTCCCGCAGCATTGAGACCTTAAACAACCAGCTCCCATCCCCGTCTGCCCGTTGACTTCACTGGGGTTGGAGCAGGCCCTTCATCAGTTTGCTGTCACTGGAGTCAATGGGCAGACTGCCATTGGCTTCACTGGGGTCAGGTACGGCCCGCACTGCATTAGGAACTGTCCCGGCCCTTGTGACTGCGTGTAGTGAGGATGATCTGGTTTGCATCTGCCTCTGCGTCAATTACAACCCACGAAGCAAAACCCTTAATTGTCCTTGACGCCTTTTCGTTTCTTCTTGGGCAGATACTTGCCTTCCTCTTCTCCAAAGAGAACAGCATCTGGAACTCGCAGCTGGACGCGGTGTGCGCGGAGAACATGAACAATCCCCTCTCCCATTACTGGATCTCCTCCTCGCATAACACGTAAGGACAGAGGAGAGGTGACTCTCCCCAGCCCTCGTGCGTCCGTCCTCGCAGGCCTCCTGCGCCATTACGCAGTACTGAAATTCTCCCTTTTGTGCCAACTCCAGTGGCACGATGATTTCCCAGGTCCAGGTTTCCCCAGGTTTCAGTCTGTGGCCCTGTTCATCAGAGACACCTCCCCAGTACTCCAGGCCTCCCCACTGCTGGCTTCTGGCGGTGTTTCATTCTGTGCATGGTCAGGAGCACCTCTGTGCTGGCTGCAGTCTGAGAGCCTGGGCTGTCGTCCTATTGCTTTATTTACCATCAGCATTATCGACCTCCCCCGCCTCTCCGGAGGGTCATAAGAAAAAGCCTGGAAGGGTGAGATCAACTGCTTGAATTGCTGCTGTGTGGAAAACCCTCTTAGAACCATGGAAATGGAACGCCCTCCAGCTGGCAAATGCTGATGGCGCTTTGTGCGTCTCACGGAGCGGACGGCAGCTTGGGTTTGCTTCCCTGTCTATCCACAGTCACAGGTGCCGTCAGCAGGAAAGGGCACAGCTCTGCAGATTGAGTTTGCAACCCAGCAGGGCTGAGGGTGGGTTGATCTGAACCATTCCTGTGGGTAGCACGAGAGACAGGATGGGTAGAAGAGGAGGACAGTGTGTCTGTCATATTCTAGCAACACGAAGCCAGGTTGTGGCTTGCACCAGTCCTTGCTCCTGTGATGTCCCGTGCAGAGCTCTCCGTGTTCCCTTCTGCAGCGAATTACTTTTTTTTGATGGCGTGTTTCTTTTGCATGGAAGGTACCTGACGGGGGATCAGTTCTCCAGCGAGTCCTCCTTGGAAGCCTACGCGCGCTGTCTGCGCATGGGATGCCGCTGCATTGAGTGTGAGTACCTAGCAGGGGCTGGCTCCTTTTCTTCAGCGATGGCCATGAATTTTGTGCTGCCCTCATCTGAGGCTCTTGGCTCCTTTTGTGGAGTGGGGCCTGCTGTGCAGTGAGCGAGCCAGCGCCTTTAGAAAGAGTGTGCCCTGGAGGCTGGCCCGTGGGCCATTTTGGGCGGGCACAGCCCCATCTTTCCATCCTGCACCGTGCCGTGCCTGGCCTGCGGGTCACAGCCCCCTCCTCTCTTTCCTGGGACCAAATAGCAATGGTGGCGATAGAACTACCACCCACTTGAACCTCGTCCTAATGCCACAACACCACAGCCTGGCACTCTGGGGCAGATTTTTAAAGGCATATAGGTTCCTAACTCCCTTTGGCAACCAGTGGGAGTTAGGCACTTCCCTACTTTTACCAGTCTGGCCTGTCATCTCTTCACATGCTTATGCTGCATTCCAGGAGGCAGCCTTCTGCAGTGGTTAGAGCAGGGGAGTGGGAACCTGGAGGCAGAGTAAAAAAATCCAATTGTATTTCCACAACAAATGTTAATGAAGCTGTTTCTTTTGGAATTTTTCACAGAAAATTCCGCCTTTTTTTTTCTAAATGAAACTGTTTTCAGTGAGGATCCTGTTTGTCAGCAAATCGAACATTTAGTGAAAATTACACTGTTTTTGTGGAATATATTTTGATTTCAACCAAACCATTTTTTAACTCAAAGATCTTCAGTCAAAAAATTTCAACCAGCTCCGTCAGGTGACCTGAAGTCTAATCTCCCTCTGACACTGACTGGCTGTGTGAGTCACATCATGGTTCCATGCCTCAGTTTCCCCATCTGTAAGATGAAGAGATTCACTTTCTTGGTTGTTATGAGATTCAGTCCATGGAAGTAGATAGAAGGTGCCACTGAAGTGCTGTTAGCACTGTTATTGTCCTGTCATGCTGCATTTTGACACTCTTGCAATGCCCAGCATAATGCTATGGTTGCATGTGCCCTCGCACTGAAAGGGTTAAGGAGATTTTGTTTGTTTGGACCATCTTGTACTTGTTAAAGTCATTGTTTTCTCAGAAAGATCCTTGATTTTCACCTCTCTCCTTTTCCCATCCAATATGGATTCCCCTGCAGAGCTAGCTCGGTTTGACCCATTTTGCGCTGACGTCCTGTTTGCATCACTGGGTTTGATTAAGTTTCCCATTGGGTTCTGTTTTAGTGGATTGCTGGGACGGCCCCGATGGGATGCCCGTGATTTACCATGGACACACTTTAACCACCAAAATCAAATTCTCTGACGTCTTGATGACCATCAAGGAACATGCCTTCATGACCTCTGAGTAAGTAGAACAGCTGTGCAAAAGGCAGAATCCTCCTGGGTCTGATTCTAATTCAGCTAGAGTGAAACTCATGTTTGTGCAAAGGACACACCCGAAGCCTCCATGCAGGGTTTAAATAGGCGTGAAGTGGCACATGCAGGCCTTTTGCTTGCCCCCAGCCCCCCACCCCCTCAGTGTTTAATTTGTTAGGTACAAGGGCTCAAGCAATTTTTTTACTTTCATAACTGATGTGCCAAGCCCAGAGGTGCTGGGGCTATGAACTGCCCGGCCCAAAGGTGCCGGGGCTATGAACTGCCAAGCCGTGGCACAAATTAAGCACTGTTGCCCCCTCTGCACGGGGGTGATTTCACCAGTAAAGAATGTCCTCATTTGATCAAAATCTTGGGAGTTCTGTCCCTGGCTCTCCCATGGGCTCACTTTGTGATGCTGAGCATGGTATTTATGCCTGAATTTTCAAATGTCCATTAATTTTGGGTGCCCAACTGGAGACACTTTCGGTCCAGATACTCAGAGGAGCTGTGAGCCCCCAACTCTGGCTGAAGTCCATAGGATTTGTAAGTGCTTGGCAAACTCTAAATCTGGTGGTGCAGGGGTGGGGGAGTGTCAGCTGGGCACCCAGAATTAGTAACACTTCTGAAAATGTAGGGCCTAACTTCTCTCTAGGTTTGAACTTGGTGACTCTACTTGATAAATCTGACTTGTGTCCTTGCTGATAAACAGGGCTCCTAGAAATCCATTTGCCATGGAAAAGCACAGAATTTGCGTTTTTACAGAGACTCTTCAGTTTTTACATTTTGTGAAAAAGTAAAAACATATATTAACTAGTAACTAAATGTTACTGAGAGTACCAGTGTCACTTATTCAATGTGCACGACCTCCCCTGTTGTGGTTGCTTTTTCAATGTGCTTTAAATTTACATAGCTAAACATACTCCAATAAACTGCTTCCTGCATATAGAGGCTACTCAATGGTGCATAAGGGTTCATGTTTTAATTTCACTTAACTTTAATTACTCATGTCTGGAGGCTAAGAAAAGAAGCCGAAAACTTTAAAAGTTTCCCCTAAAGTCCATGTCACTGAGGGCACGTCTTCACTACCCGCCGGATCGGCGGGTAGCAATCAATCTATTGGGGATCGACTTATCGCATCTAGTGAAGACGCGATAAAATTGATCCCTGATCGCTCTGCCGTCGACTCCGGAAATCCACCGCGGCAAGAGGCGGCAGCGGCGTCGACGGCGGCGCGGCAGGTAAGTCGACCTAAAATACGGAACTTCAGCTATGCCATTCACGTAGCTGAAGTTGCGTATCTTAGGTTGACCCCCCGCTGTAGTGTAGACCTAGCCTGAGTTTGGCAAGGACAACTTTCATGTTGATGGTAATGTGCTGGTCTGCACTGTATGCAGCAAGGCTGTAGATCACATTAGAAGGCAGACAGTTGTAGAACACATGGAAAGCACTAAACATAAACTGAATGAAAAGAAACGAAAACAAGATGCTGAAAGAGCAGTGCCCCCGATAACAGTAAAGAAACAGTGCACTGTGTCTGGATCATTCTATTAATTGTATTTTATTATAATGATTGATGGCACTGGTAGGCTTCGAACTTGCTTAAAAGTTGTAAACATATCAATAAAATGTTGTGTTCAATTGATACCTATGTATATTGTGGCTAAGGAAACTAAAGTTTAGTGTTGTATTTTAATCGTGGGAAAATGTGGGGTTTTATGGTTTTTCATTGGAGAATTTTGTTTTTTTTATCACTGAAAACTAGGATCCCTGCTGGCGAATGTGTCTAACTGTGCAGGGACTAAATGTAATTTCTCTGGTAGCCTGGGATTTTCTGGGACAAGTGATGCTTATAGCCTTAGTTAGTGTCCTTTGATATTGCAGCCAAGGGCTTATTTTCCTCTTCGTACTCATGTACAACTTTGGTCCATGATGGTTTTTATGTGACCCTTATGCACACATGGACGGTACACCGATGATCAGATACTGAAGTTCTTCTTGCTAAACTGGTCCAGCAACAAGGGGACAACCTCTGACCATGGGCTCCTGTCCTACCAATGGCACAGATGTGATTGTTTCTCCACAAGAGGGCCATGATCAGCAGGAGGCACCAAAGTGCCTGTTTTGTGTTGTGTATTATAAATACATATGCCATATTTGTAGTCTGTTTGGTTCCTACATGGAAGTCATTGTCCTTCTCTGTGTTGGTGGGGAGGCAAATTTTTGTTAGGTTAAATTAAACTGGGAAGCACCCTGCAGTTTTTTGATGGGTGTCTCTGTTCCCCCTCTCAGCCCAGTCCTGAATTGGAATGTACAGATGGACTCTACTGAGCCATTGGGCAGAAACTTGTGTTCATTTTGGTGGGGATGAGAGTGAAATCTAGAATGTCCAGGGGATGCAAAGGAAGCTGAAACCAGACTCTTGGAGAGTAACTTGTAGAGTTGCCTAGTCGGCAACTGGTAAATCCTGCAAGTTGGTGCTAGTAGTTAATGCATGCAGTTACAGAAATGTTGACCTTCTCCCAATCACCACTCTGTTATTTAACCCCTTTATTCTCTCCTGCTTCTTCATCTACCAGATATCCTGTCATCCTGTCCATTGAAGATCATTGCAGTATTGCTCAGCAGAGGAACATGGCTCAGAATTTTAAGAAGGTTTTTGGGGACATGCTTTTGACCAAGCCGGTGGATATATCCGCTGATGGGCTCCCCTCCCCGAACCAGCTGAAGAGGAAGATTCTCATTAAGGTAAAATTTCCCTTGTAGCTGGTGTCTCTACTGCAAAGGAAAGTAGGGAGTGGAGTTGGGATGAAAGGAATGTTCACCTAGGCATTGGAAGGGCTCATCAGTGATTTGAACCTTAAAGGGACAGTGCATGTTGATTTTATTTGGGCCCATTTCCCAAGAAGGCTGAATTAGGTTGGTTTTTCCTAGAGGAGCCAGAGAAGATCCGATCTGGATCCAGATACTAATTTCCCCAAAGTTCAGGGTGCTTTGGATTCAGGATCCATCTTTAGTTTTTTTCCCCCCCCTTGTCGCCAGTGATCTGGTATTTGTACTGTGGGTCTCCTTGATCTGCTTCACTGTCTACTCCAGCACCGTCTGGTTACCATGGCACCTTGCACTGGCAGAGAATACTTTCTACTCTTCTGGAAATGCAGGATGCTCTAAGGTTGGGAGGGGGCATGGAGCTGAAAACTAAACAGAACTGGGGAGAGCCTCTAACTCCTCTGTCTTATTGCCCCCTGGTGGCCACCTGGGAAATGTATAGACTGTTGTTTTTAAATATCCTGTGCTCTGAAATTCAAGCAACCCCCAGACAGAATCTCCTTCGATAGTTTTTTGGAGTCATTTCTTTAGAACCGCACTGGTTTAATTCTAACCCACTGGCGAGTGTGTGTTACGGATTTCCTGCAGCGCTAAGCCACAGAGGAATCTACGGAGCTTTAGAACCAGCTGTGGCCAGCTCATGTTTTAAGGGCTGGAGGGTCCCTGGTTCAATCCCTGACATGTTGGCCAAGATGGTACTGTCACATAATCTCTATTATAAATTCTACAGGATTCTTCCAAGAGCCACCATGCATCTGGTAGGGACATAGATTGGAAGCACTTAAGGACAAGACCTGGTTTTGCTATGTGTTTGTGGAGCCCCCTAGCACAGTGGAGTACTGGTCTATGACTGAATCTCCTAGCTACCACTGCCGTACAAAGTGCACAGTGGGGTTTTTGGCATCACTGAATTTCTTGACCCTTCTCTGCAGCGTGGAGGGGGATCTTTTATCCATAATTATGATCTAGGGGGTACCCCTTGCAATAGAGCTGAAGAACGTTAAGGTTGCTCAGATCGGGGCATAACAGGTGAACATGGTCTCTTCTGCGACTGCTGCTTCCTTTAGGGTATTTGATCCGAGTGTCTCATTCTGCAGCACAAGAAGCTGGCGGAGGGCAGTGCTTATGAAGAGTTGCCGACATCTGTAATGTATTCGGAGAATGATATCAGCAACTCCATAAAGAACGGGATCCTCTACCTGGAAGATCCCATCAATCACGTATGTTTCTTTCTGTGGCTGCCACCTCATCCACTTCCTTCAGGTTACCTAGAGATCGTTCCCTGGGGATTATTAAGCCAATCTGATCTTGTAAACTAACAATAACGCTGCTGGGAAAATCATTAGCATGTGCATGGTAGAGAGCCATCCTGCCTGGGAAGGGAGATGGTGTAAATTACTTAGGGGTTTTCTCACTCCTCTGATTATGTGACACCGAATGTGCCTTGTTTAATAGACCAGGTTCCATTATTACAGTAAGTTATAAATTAAGTCCAGAGTTTACAGACCTGGGTGCGTCTAAATCCATATTCAGGCACCTGACTAAACAGTCTGATTCTTATGGGTCTGAGCACTTCTGTTGTTTCAGTTTTACTGTGTGCTTTTGACGGTGTTTTCTCCAGTCAATTTCCCTTGTTTTTTGCATGGATCTTTCTCACGCATGTTTTGGAAAGGAGGGAGGTGCCAGGGTGAAACAACAGAAATTGCCTGGGTGACTCCGGGTCTAGTGTGGAACCTGAATCTACTCTGAACTTTTGTTTTTTTAACTAGATTTCCCGTTGACAGTATCCCGTTAAAGTGTGCTGAGAGTTCTCAGTCTGATCCCGCATGAGCATCAGTTTGCATCACCAAGCTACGCCACGCTTTGACGCTATTGAAAGTCTCGGCTCAAGAGTATCTCTTGAGTTGAATTAGCAGGGTGTAGTTGAGCTGGTGGTGTCTTGGAAGCTTGCCTGGCATGTACCTTTTATCAGTGCCATTGATCATTGTCTTACATGAGCCTTAAAATTCACCAATCAGCTTCCCTTGCTACCCCCCAGCTCCACCAACCACAGGGCTGAAAATCCATCCAAAGGTGGTATAAGGTCTGCTGGGTGCTGTTTGGATGAATTCCCTGTACAGATCTTTCTGTCTTTCCCTACAGGAATGGAATCCGCACTACTTTGTCCTGACCAGCAGCAAGATCTATTACTCTGAGGAGACGACCGGCCACCCGGGAAACGAGGATGAAGAGGAACCAAAGGAGGTGAGGGCAATGCTTTCAAAGAGGGGGTGCCTATGCTCAGGGCCCCTTGAAAACCTCCATTTCATGGACTGCCCAGAAGTCGTGAAATTAGCCCAATACCATGACTTTTCTGACCGCAGGGAAGTGGAAGCGGGCAGCCACACACGCCGGCCTCGTGCTCGGCGTGGCTCGTAGCGCATGGCAGCGTCACGTCGGAGTAGCTGTGCGAGGGAGGACTCAGCGGTTGGTTTTACGAGAGGCACAGTTGCCAGTGCTACCGCTGCTTGGCGCACAAGCAGCCATGGCCTCGGCAGGCCTCCGCACATGCCGATCCAATAGCCTGTGTTCCACGCCGCAGCAGTGCGGGCTACTGTGCCTCAGCTAAAACCCAGCCACGGAGCCCCCCCACGCCGAAACTGCTGCTCCGACGTGGCCCTGCCGTGTGCTCTGAGCAACCCCAAGCAAGAGATCGGTGTGTGCAGATGCCCGTTTCCACCTCCTCGCTGTGTGAAAAATCGCAGCAGTGCAGGGGCGACTCAGGGGCCGGGCAAGTTCTGTGAAATTGACTACTTTACCCATGGTGCTGCCAGGAATTACACCCCCCCCCCCCCCCCCCCCCAAAAAAAAGTCCTTGATTTTTTTTCTCAGGGCCTTGCCTATGCTATGTGGCCTGATTGTCTGAGCAGCTGTTCTGAGCGTTGATTTCAGCAGGAGCTGCAGGTGCTCAGCATGTCTGAAAATCAGGCTATTGCTTTACCCCTCTGTGCCTCAATTTCCCTATCTGTACAATGGGGTTAATGACTTTTATGCCACCCTGGGGATGGTCTGGGCCCTGGAACATTCTATGCTGAACAGTCATGGATGTAAATTACTGGAGTCCCAAGGGATTTTATTTTAGTGGGAAGGGGAAGGGAATTCAAACACTCATGGTCCAGAGCTGGAGGCCCTCTGCCTCTGAGAACAGCAGGCCCCTTCCACAGGGAGCTCAGCTGAAGTGCTGGTGCTCAGTGAAGTGGGAGATGTATCTCTGCCCCCTGCCAGGTGAGCAACAGCACTGAACTTCACTCGACTGAGAAGTGGTTTCATGGCAAGCTGGGGGCCGGGCGTGATGGGCGCCACATAGCAGAGAGGCTGCTGATGGAGTACTGCATAGAGACGGGCGCCCCTGATGGGTCTTTCCTAGTACGAGAGAGTGAAACCTTCGTGGGAGACTACACCCTCTCTTTCTGGTAAGGATCTGCAACCCCTTTCACCAGCTCTGAAATAGCCTTAATCCATTAACTCCTTATCAGTACCTCTAACTTCTGTGCCAAGATTCCTGGGTTCAATTCCTCCTCTGCCACTGATGTGCAGTGTAACCTGAAGCAAGTTACTTGACTTCTCAGGGCCTCAGTTTCTCTACCTGGGATGCAAAAACGGGAATCCTGAGTAGAACTCGAGGTTATTTAACTCTGTATTTGGCACTGGTGCAACTCCTTCTGGAATACTGTGTCCATTCTGGTGTCCACAATTCAAGAAGGATGTTGATAAATTGGAGAGGGTTCAGAGAAGAGCCCTGAGAATTATTAGAGGATTCGAAAACATGCCTTATAGTGAGCGACTCCAGGAGCTCAATCTGTTTAGCTTAACAAGGAAGGTTAAGGGGTGACTTGATCACAGTCTTGAAGTTCCTACTTGGGAGCAAGCATTTAATAATGGGCTCTCCAGTCTAGCAGAGGAAGGTCTAACACGATCCAATATCTGGAAGTTGAAGCGAGACAAATTCAGACTGGAAATAAGCCGTACGTTTTTAACAGTGAGAGTAACTAACCACTGGAACAATTCACGAAGTGTGGTGGTAGATTCTCCATCACTGTCAATTTTTAAATCAAACTGGATGTTTTTCTAAAAGATCTGCCCTAGGAATTATGGCGAGGCAGATCTCTGGCCTGTGTGATACATAAATTACAATTATGAGTAACATGCCCCAGAAGATGATCCTTCCTAACTCAGGTAGTTCGCCATCGACTTTTGTCTTTAAGCATGTTGGGTTTCCTCTGCCATGTGCCGCTGCTGACCTCTCTGGTGTGAGTGTACATTGATCACGCCTTTGTCCTGTTTAATGTAATCCCTGGGCCGACGGGGGCCACGCATCCTAGATTTCTTTACTCCTGGTGTCCAGTTTAGCTGGGCCATAGCCTTACAGAAATGACCAGCTAGTAATTGGCTTGAGCCAGTCACATGATGGCATCTTGCCCAATCAGTTTGCATTAGGGAATGGCTCTCTCCCCGCCTGCCCAGTGTCCTCACTCAGGTTGGATGCTGGGGCAGGCAGTCAAGGGCAAGCGTCTCTCTCCTTGTTCTGACCCAGGCGCAATGGGAAGGTGCAGCATTGCCGCATCCATTCCCGGCAGGACGCCGGCAGCCCCAAGTTCTTCCTGACCGACAACCTGGTGTTCGACAGCCTCTACGACCTCATCACCCATTACCAGCAGGTGCCTCTGAGGTGCAACGAGTTCGAGATGAAGCTGACTGAGCCTGTGCCGCAGACCAACGCCCACGAGAGCAAAGAGTAAGCGCGGGGGGAGGGGAGGGAGTTCCTAACCACGTGGCTCCCCGGTGATCCCCTAGCGTGCTCCGCTTTCCGCTTCACTGTGGTCCTGCTGTGCCACTCCTGGTGCTGGAGTGTGAGGCAATGCTCTGCGTGGTATCCGCAGCCTGCCGTCCTGCCCTTCCGACCCTGAGCCATGTGGCATTTGGGGGAAGAGGGCAGGGACAATGCCTCCCCCTTGCCACGGTTACCGGACCGATCTGTCCTACGTCTGCGCTCCTTTCATCCCCGGCCTGTCTCTGCCGAGGGGGTGAGATGGCCCTTAATCACTCCAGATACCGTCCCTTTCTCCGCCTCCTGTCCGTGTCACGCGCTCCCCCGTGAGCAGAGAAACCGCCACTGGTGGATTTGGTTACATTGCGTCACGAGAGGGACCTTGCCCTGGATTGGTTCTGGGGTTCGGCTGGATGTGTCTGGGACACGAGCACTCACTCACGTCATGGTGTCTTTACCCAAAGGTGGTACCACGCCAACCTCACCCGGGCCCAGGCCGAGCACATGCTGATGAGGGTGTCGCGGGACGGAGCCTTCCTAGTGCGCAAGAGGAGCGAGCCCAACTCTTATGCGATCTCGTTCCGGTAAGCCCCCGGGCTGGAAAGCGCTCGTGCAGCCGTCCATCCGTCCCATGGGGAAGGTTTTGTTTATGCCCTGGCCTTCAGCACTCGGGGGGTTTGTGTTGCTTTGGGTTTGGCTTGGGAATCTCCACCTTGAGCCACCGTTTGCGCTTTCACGCGCCTTCGCTGTTCCTCTGCGTGGCCCCTGCCTTGCGCCCCTCCCTCGGCATGTACCCGGGTGTGGGGGAAGTCCTCGCCGCTCGTGCTTAGCACACTATAAACCCCTTTAAATTGCCAGCGAGTTTGCATTAAGGGAGCAGTTTGTCTGGTCAGGGAGGTGTCCCTGCCGAAAGTTGAGCCCACGCAGATCCTCCGAGATATTCGAAAACATGCCTTATAGTGAGCCATTCCAGGAGCTCAGTCTGTTTAGCTTAACAAGGAAGGTTAAGGGGTGACTTGATCACAGTCTTGAAGTACCTACTCGGGGAGCAAGCATTTAATGATGGGCTCTCCAGTCTAGCACAGGAAGGTCTAACATGATCCAAAATCTGGAAGTTGAAGCGAGACAAATTCAGACTGGAAATAAGGCTACTTCCCATTGATTTCAGTGGGAGACAGGTGCCTAACTGCCTTTTGAGGATCTGCACCTTAGTCTCCCTGCATTGCTGTGATGAAGCGCTGTATTTGGTTCTGGGGCCCTTCAGGGCCCCTGTGTCCCTAATGGCTGTGCTGGTTCAGACAGACAGTTGGGCCACTGGATTCTGCAGCACCAAGCAGGAGAGGTTCAGCTCCCTCCCCCTCTGTCCCAATAGCCATTCCTGCTCAGCCCTGACCTTGCAGGGAAGAAGAGCATGCCTGCTGGCACAGCGTTTAGACTCGGGTGGCTCACGAAACTGCCCTGCTCTGGGGATGTTCACCCCAGTTGCCTGCCACGTCGGGGGGGTTCCCCAGCTCTTTTCCCTGTGTTGTCTCATTAACGGATGCAGCCTTCGGGATCTGTGGGATTGTGCTTTAACTATCGGAGGTTTCATAGTGTCTCGGCTTCCTTGCAAGCTTTAGACCCATCCCTGAGTTTGTGTCGCCCTCTTCTGACCTGTGGTGGTGCTGCATGCGCCATCCTAGTGCTTTGCTCAGATCTCCCCTAGCTCAGGGTGTTGGGCTCTGGAGATGGGCATCTGGCTCCACAGCGATTCCTGTGTGATCTGGGGTGGTGGCACCTCTTCCCTCAATACTGATCGCCGGGTGCTAGCGTTCTCTGCTCAGCGGTCCTGCTGGGTAGTCAGGGTGGCCCCAGGCATGGAGGGAAGATGTCAGGGCTGGGCTGGGGTCTCATTCTCCCAAGTGGCTGCCTGGGGAGGGGGTTTCTCTGGCTGTTTGCCAAGCAGCGTTTCTGCTCGTCTTGGCCTGGCAGGGCGGAAGGGAAGATCAAGCACTGCCGAGTGCTGCAGGAGGGCCAGACCGTGCTCCTGGGCAACTCCGAGTTCGACAGCCTGGTGGATCTGATCAGCTACTACGAGAAGCACCCGCTCTACCGCAAGATGAAGCTGAGGTACCCCATCAACGAGGAGACGCTGGAGAAGATTGGGACAGCGGTGAGCGCGAGGCAGGCCTGTTAACGGGTCAGGGGAGGAAAGGAGTCAGCCCATCTGGAGCGAGGGCTCGGCTCTGCTGGCCTTGTCCGGAGCCATTTGCTTGCCCCTGGCCATACGGAGGTTGAGCGAGTATGTGGTACCTGCACAGCCAAATTAGTAAGAGGACCTGGGATCCCTCCCCCCCACCAGACCTTGGGTATGCACAGCCTGGTGTGCAGCCTGAGCTCTCGTTGGCTTCAGAGAGGTGTGTGGGTGCTCAGCATCGCAGACCCTCTGGCCTGCAGTGGAGGTGGCCAGCACGCTAGTTTAGACAGGGTCTGTTTCCTACACGCCAGAGCCCTTCTGCACCTCTTGCTTCTGTGGCCCTTTCCCCCGGTAGCAGCAAGAAAAGGGGCTAGTTCTCCCCGCAGCAAATGCTTGGTTCCAAGTGACAGCGTATGTGCTTTTGTTTTGTAGGAGCCAGACTATGGAGCCCTTTATGAAGGACGCCATCCGGGATTCTACGTGGAGGCCAATCCCATGCCAACCTTCAAGGTATTCTCTTGCTGTTTGTCTTTACAGGTCGATTTTAATGGCCCGCTCGCCCAGCTCTGCCCCTGGGGCTTTCGGGCTACCCCCAGCATCCAGCTCTGCTCTTGGGCTCCCCCTCACTCCCAGTTCTGCCCCCCATCTCCCACCACTGCCATTCTGCTTGCCCCTGGGGCTGCCCCCACCGCCACAGGCCGGACCTTTGCTGAGGGGAAAAGAGGAGTTTCTGGTGGCTGGGCTGAGTGAGGACACTTTGGAGGACCTGACCCACTGCCCTGCTGTCAGGAATGCCTTCTCCTCCTCCCCCAACCCCTGCTGCCTAGACAGGAGTCCGTGTTCCTGCGCCTGGCTCCTGGCCCCTCTGTTGCTCTCATAGAGAGTTCAGAGGGATGGCAGGGGGGTTTCCTGGCTTCGTCCCAGCCCGTCGCTAGAGTGTGTGTGTGCATGGGTGGCTTCGGTGCTGTTCTAAGGTTGGGTCTGTTACTGTATCGCCGAGAAAGTCGGCCGAGTGTGGTTCCCTCAGCGTTCCCCGTGGTATTTCATGGGTCTGTTCATCTGTTCTGCAGCCTTCATGCAAAAGTGCAATGTGATCAAATAGCTCCCGGTTGCAGCCCTGGCTCCGGGGACTGCAGTGCTTTTGGCAATCCCTGTGTTTCAGAGGGGTATCTCTGAGATCTCCGTGAGGGCACGTCAGTCCCCACCAGTCGAGCTCCCAGCAGAGGGAATCTGCTTTTCTCCTGGTGATCAGAACAGGGTGCCTGGGTTCAAATGATCTGTTCTGACTCCCCCTGCTGGCAGCTTCTGGAGGGGCGTGATCTCCCACTTGCTGTCCTCTGAAGTTTTTGTGTACTGTAGATTCCACTTCATAACAATCCGGATGTTCATATTAGCAACTTCCAGTTAATGGCAACATTTTTCTGGGAACCTCACTATTAATGGGGTTCGAATATTGGCAACAAAAAGCAACTTTGTTTGTTTGTTTTTAAGAAAAGCCCCGGCTGCAGGCAGGGAAGGAATTGCTGGGATGCGCCTTCCCTGTCTGCAGCCCTTGGAACCTGCCTGCACACAGGGACTGCACAGGAGGTGAGGGGCTGTGGCCAGGGCAGTAGCTGGAAGGGGGCTGCAGCCCAGTTGCTGGGATTGCATGGTCTCTCTGCGCTCTCCAGGCTGCACCTTGCTAGGGGACTGCACGCAGGGAAGGAAGCGCAGGGACTAGCAGAGCCCCAGCCTCTGGAGAGCTCAGGAAGAGGTACAGTGCAGCCCAACGGCCCCCCAGTGCCCCACCTTCCTGCTGCTGTCCTGCCAGCAGGCAGGGCTGCAGCCAGGAAAGGCGCCTCCCAGCATTTCCTTCCCTGGCTGCTACCTCACGCACCTGCCTTCCGCTCATTAGCAACTGCCGGATAATGGCAACTTTTTGTGGGCAACCCAGGGGGGGATGCTAATAAGTGGAATCTCCTGTATTTCTTTTCATGGGGTTCCTAGCAGTAAGATAAAGGAAACAAACCACACATTGGGTTCCTGTTTTGGTTTTTTCCCCCCTAAAATCTGCATGCGAGTTTGTATCATTTGTGTGTCGTCTGCAAAGCACAGTTGCAAAGCCTGAATGCAAACTGCATTTTTATGCGCGTCGTGGGCCACTGCCTGTTTGACCGTGTAAAAGTCCATTTGCACGTGATGTCTCCTGATCTGATTGTGCAGGGAGACTAAGTGCCCAATTGCACACAAGCCGTGTAGAAAACCAAGGCCGAGCTGTGACCTGTATCTGTCATTGCTTAGTCCAATAGCGCCATCAAGCCAGGCGGGGCAGCAACATTTCTTATACTCATCTTTATAGCAGCCAGGCACAGGAATGACAGAGAAACAAAATGCAACACCAAACCAGGAAGAGACACGCTAGGGAAAATCAATGGCTCTTGCATTTGTGATGGCTGCCATCTTGGCCAGCACACCAGGGGTAGAACCAGGGTCCTCCAGAGCTAACAGCTGCTAGAGCTTGAGCTAAGGAGCCCAGGTTCCCTAATAGATGTGTAGCCTCTATAGACAGGCACAGCTAGGCAACAGAAACACGCTCTCAGCAGTGGGTTGCACATTGTCCTACGATGGTTGCTAGATCCTGGCTCTTGGTGGACAACCCGAATGGCGGGTGTCCTTAGGCGAGCGAGCCCTGCCTGTGGAGTGGTTGCGCATAGGTTCTGTGTTACCCTGTGATCATACCTGCCATGGTGAGTGGAAGAGGAGCTCTTGAAGGAAGGAGGCCTCATGCTGGCCTTGGTGTCAGCTGCCCAGCCTCATGCCTGGCGGCCCTCTGTTGTTTTTGCAGTGTGCCGTCAAGGCCCTGTTCGACTACAAGGCGCAGCGGGAAGACGAGCTAACCTTCATGAAGAACGCCATCATCCAGAACGTGGAGAAGCAGGAAGGAGGCTGGTGAGCGACCCCCGCCCCGCCCATTTCCTGTGTCTGCCCCCCATCGATGGTGGATGCCAGAGGATGAGCTTGGTGACCTTGCACCCATCCTAGCAGATGGGTCCCAAAAGCTAGCAGCCTCAGAGGAGAAGCCAGGGGTCTGCCAGGGTCATGGAGACCACTGGGGAGGAGGGGGTCTTGCTGCCGCCCTGTTCTTGTTCTGTAGATGAGCAAAGGATGCTGGTCTCTCTAGGACTGTCCATCTGGCACCAGCACTCAAACCCTTCCTACTTTGGAGGGGCATGTGGGGCTGGAGAAGTAGTGAGTGAAATTGAGCTGCGGGGCACAATAAATGTGGTGGTGGAAGGGAGTTGGGAGGGATGGACTCATGAGCCTGGACGAGTGCCTCGCTGTGAAATGGCCCCCTGTCAGTGGGGTAAACTCCACCGCTGCCCGTCAGCTTGTAACAAGCCATTCAAAATACAGTCCGTGAGAACCGTTATGCAGCCAGTGGGGTCGGGACCCCTTTGGAGGGCTGGGGGCATCCCTCTGTGCCCGATGCCAGCAGGGCTCACACAGGAGTGTGGTGAGAGGGGACAGGTTCTGCCGACTCTGCTGCGGCCGCACAGTGGCTTCAGGAGCTGGGCCCTTCCCGATGTGGAGCCTCCTTAGGGTTGTGTCCTTCTGAGATCCCAGGAGTTCCAGGGCGGCTCCCTGGGGCCGCTGGGGATTGTTCTGACAGGGGCTGCACCTTTGTCTGTCCCAGGTGGAGAGGAGATTATGGGGGCAAAAAACAGCTGTGGTTTCCTTCCAACTACGTGGAGGAACTAGCCAGCCTCAGTGGCCAGGAGCCCGACAGGGAGGTGAGCGTGTTTCCGAGTGCCTGGGAAGGGATGTGGGGGTGGGGTGGGGGCGTGCCTGCGGGAGAGTGGCTGTGTCTGAGCCAGAAGGGAATGCTTTCCTCCAGGCTGTTGGGACACGTGCCCCATGCTCAGGGTTGGGGTGCTAGCCTGGCTCTGGGGTGCGGGGTGGGCTCGCTGCTGCACTAGTCAGTTCTGACATGCCGACCTGTGATCCGTTCCCAGCAGCAGCTAGACGAGAACAGCCCCCTGGGAGTCCTGCTCGGAGGCACCCTGGATGTGCCGTCCTGCCAGATAGGTAAGCACTGGGGTGGGAGTGGGGTCGGCTGCTTTCTCATTCGCACCCGTTCGTGGGTCTTGCTGGGAGCTCCCTGGCATGAAGGGGCCTGGTTTCCCTCTCCGCCCACAGCAGCTCCCATGCCTGGAGCCCAATGCCACACCTCCTCTTCTGCCCTGCATCCCCTGGACACCTGGGGTACATGGCTTCTCTGGGGGCTTGGGGAATCTCCCACTTTGAGCCCAGGAACAGCGCTCAGCAATGGACTCAGGGGTACCATGAGCCTGCTCCCCCAGCTCTGGGCAGTGAGGCCAGGAATCCAGCCCAAGCCTCCTCTAGATCGCTGGCCCATTTCCATTCCCCCCCACCTCGTCTCTGGTCGTCATAAACCTGGAGGCCAGCGAATTGGGTGCAGCTCGGGACCTGGCCGTAGGAAATCCACCCGGCACTTGTTCCTTCCCCTCCCCTCACTAATCGCAGTCCAGAGCGTGGAGGATTTAGCTGCATGAGCGGTTGTGACCTTTCCCTTCCCTCCCTCTCCCGTCACAGCCATCCGCCCTGAGGGGAAGAACAACCGCACCTTCGTCTTCTCCATCAGCAAGGCCTCCATGTCGCGCCCATCCATGGACGTGGCGGCTGACACACACGAGGACCTGCTGGACTGGGTGAAGAAGATCCGGGAGGCAGCCCAGACTGCTGACGCCAGGGTGAGTCTGGTTAGCCACCTCGCCCTACAGGCCCTTAGCATCCTTGGGAATGGAAGCCAGGCCCTCCTAGAGCTGGCTGCTCAAGCCCAGACGCCTGTTCCCACTGAGTCTTGTAAAGGGAGTTCTGCTCCCAGCCCTTGGGAAGAGGGACAGGTCCTGGTAGAGGCTGGAACAAGCAGCCGAATAACCAAAGTGCTCCTGGCTTGGAGAGAGAGGGGCTTGGGGGGAGGGGAGACTGTAACCTCCCCCCTCCACTCTGTAGATGGCTAGTTCTCTGGTGGGTGGAGGCAGGCCAGGGAGCGCCCTACAGTGTGGGGTGGAGGTAGGACGGAGGCAGCTGGTAGTCATGAATTTTCATAGTGATTGAAGGGCACAAGCCCCACTGAAGATCACTAGGACTTGTGCTCCTAAGTCATGTCAGGGGCTTTTGAAGCCCCCTTCTGCCCCCAAAGGCTTTCAGGGACCATGATGTTTCCTAGTGCAGAGTCCAGCAGCCTCCGGTCACGGTGACTAGTGAACCGGTGACTAGTGATCGCTCTCTAGCCAAGGTCACCGCTGGGCAAGTGCTGCTGCTAGCACAGGAGCCTTGGTGACTTTGTGTCTGCCTCCTGGCAGCTCTCCGAAGGGAAGATGATGGAGAGGAGGAAGAAGATCGCCCTGGAGCTATCGGAACTTGTCATCTACTGCCGGCCCGTCCCCTTCGATGAAGAGAGTAAGTGCAGGTCCCCAGGGTGCCGGTACACAGCAGACAGGCTGCGGGTGCATTATAACCCCCCAAAATGCCCCCAGCACAACCTGGCCTGACTGTCTGTCAGAGGTGGGCTGAGCTGCTGGGCCCCCCCCCATTTGATTTAACCAGAGGTTTGGGGTTCAAGGCCAGATTGGAAATAAGTTGAGGTCAGGCTCCTAAGATTCCAAGCCCCAGGTGGTGGAAATCTCCCACAGCCAGCTGTTCTCGAGAGATTTCAGCCACCTGCCAACGGGATCTGGCCTAGAACCAAAGCCACCACAGTGGGTTCGGATCTGGGGATTCAGGCCAGGCTGTCAAAGCCGCCCGGGGGATATTGAGACACAGAGCTCCCCTCAGAATTAAAGGTGGCTCTGGCAATCTCAGCCATCTGCCCCCACACCTTGCGCCCACACGCCCTGGGGCAGTGAGTCTCAAACTTTTTTACTGATGACCCCTTTCACATAGCAAGCCTCTGAGTGCGACCCCCCCCTAATAAATTAACACCCTTTTAAATATATTTAACACCATTATAAATGCTGGAGGCAAGCGGGGTTTGGGGTGGAGGTTGACAGCTTGCGACCCCCCCATGTAATAACCTCATAACCCCCTGAGTGTCCCGACCCCCAGTTTGAGAACCCCTGCCCTGGGGGATAGCAGGTGGAGGGCTCTGGAGATGCCCAGAAGCATCTCCGATCTAGATCAGGGTTAGTGGAGGGAAGAGCTGTGTGGCCACAGATTGGCTAAGGGAGGGCCAGGGGAGGACCAGGAGAGTGTCTAGAGCAGGGGCTGGAGGAGGGGGCAGTGGTCCAGCTTAGGCAGGGGGGGGGGTTGGTTTCGGACAGTCTCCCCCCCCCCCCCCCCCCCCCCCCCCCCATTCAACTGCAAGGTATTTGCTAGTCACACGCTGAAGAGGCCTGTGCCAGGGAGTCAGCTTGCAGGTGGAAAGGGGAATGCAAACCCTGGTGATCTCTTGGAGGTGGGAGCAGCTCAGCCAACCTTGTCCAGGGGCGATGGAGCTCCTGCGTGACGAATGACTGCTCCGTGTCTCCTGGCAGAGATTGGCACAGAAAGGGCCTGTTACAGGGACATGTCGTCCTTCCCCGAGACCAAGGCGGAGAAGTATGTCAACAAGATCAAAGGCAAGAGGTTCCTGCAGTACAACCGGCTGCAGCTCTCCCGCATCTACCCCAAGGGCCAGCGCCTCGACTCCTCCAACTACGACCCCCTGCCCATGTGGATCTGTGGCAGCCAGCTGGTGGCGCTCAACTTCCAGACCCCAGGTGAGAGCTGCCTGCCAGGAGGGAGAAGGGGAGGGGTGCATAGCTTGGGTGCCACACAGAGCTCCCAGTTAAAGGTGCCCTGCCAAACCCCCCTCCCTGAGGAGTCACAGCCTGATCCCTATGTCGAAGGTCAGTCCCACCCAGCCACTTGCCCCTCCCACAATCGCTTCAGGACACACACTGTCACTAGCACGCGACGCCCCCTGCGATCGCTGACACCTGAGCAGAAGAGTGGGGTAGGTGAGACTCCGCTTGCAGCCCATCTGGCCCATTCCATTGCAGGCAGAGGGGCTTCATTCCTCCCTCTCTAGCGCAGCATGCGATCCTGGCGCTCAGTCCCAGGCCCCACGTTACTGGGGGACACTGACCCCCTGCATAGGGAACAGCAACAGAAATGCAGAGGGCTGCAAGGACAGACGGATGGGGAGAGATGGAATGAGTGAGGGCCTGTGTCGCAATGCGTGCAGGGGAGGTGGAAGCCTATAGGTATTTAGGGGGTGGGGGGGATCCTCTAGGGCAGTGGTTCTCAAACTTTCTTCATTTTGCAGGCCCCTAAAAATTTTCAAATGGAGGTGCTGCCCTTTGGAAACCTTAGACATCATCTGTGGACCCCCAGGGGTCTGCGGCCTACAGGTTAGGAACCACTGCTCTAGGGTGCTACAGGAGAGGATACCTGGCAGGAACGAGATGGGGTTAAACAGGGGAACTGGACATCGGGACAAACAGTATGTGATGTACCAGGCTGTAGAAGGGAAGAGGTGGAGGAGGCCCTAGGCTGGGTGACATGACATACAGTGCCCTGTAGGGACAGAGCCTGTCCTGGTCCCGGGACAATGAACTGTGCACTCCAGTAACTTCTCTGATCGTGACTGCCAGCCCGTGTTGAAGCGATCACTCCCTGCCTGTCTTTCTCAGACAAGCCCATGCAGATGAACCAGGCCCTGTTCATGTCCGGCGGCCAGTGTGGGTACGTGTTGCAGCCGGCCAACATGCGGGACGACCTCTTCGACCCCTTTGACAAGAGTACGGTGCGCGGGCTGGAGCCGCTCTCGGTCTCCATCGAGGTTTGTACTGGCCTGCGGCCGTGCCGTTACCTGGTTACCTTTCCCCTTACGAAGGGAATGGCTGTCCCTGCTGTGATCCCCCAGAGTGCCCCACCCCTGTTGTGTGGGGGGAGCAGAGGACATCTGCCAAAAGCCCTGTTCCTGGTTTGTCTGAGCCCTTGCTGGGAGGTGAGGGGCCTGGCTGACTGCATGGGAGAGGCATGTGGAATCAGCCCTTTTAATCCTACCTGGGGACACTGGTAGAGAATTATGTTCCTCCCCTAGGCCTCTGGCATCTTCTCACTCAGATTGTCATGTGGTCTTTATTGGGGAGGCTTTGTCCTGGCCCCGTTAATACCCGCATGGTTTGGATTTGGGCAGCAACTCTTGAGCCAGAACCAAGCCCAGATGCGGTATGCTGCCTTGAGTCTAGTGGCAGGAATCTGCTTGGAAGCATAAGATAGAAGAGGAGAAGCACCCCCTGGAACTGCCAGGGAAGAGAAAAATGACCATCTTCTGTCACCAGCAGGTGGTGCTCTGCCCCTGCAGGACCACATACTCCTAGGACAGCTGCTGTCCAATCACCAGTGTGATTTCGGCTTTAATGATAAGTGTATGTGAGGGAGGGAAAACGCATGCGCGTGCACACGGCTTGCAGCCAAAGTGATGCTCTCACAGGTGGTTCATTAAGGTTGATTTAAAACACAATGATCCCTTGCTCCAGGCCTGCGAAAATGGTAGTACAAGACATGAACCGATTCCCCCAGATATAAAGATCTTTCCCAAGCAACCCGAAGCAAGCTTTTCCCTTCCCCTCAGTTGAAGCTCCCCCCCCTCCCCCCCGAGCCTGGGGAAGTAGACTAGCTTCGCAGAGTGACCTGAAGGTTAACAAAGCTCAAGGGAGGGCTCAGCTGATCTCTACTGCCAGGGTACTGCCCGGGGGGAGGAGAGGCAGCTTCTCCGAGAGCAGGGACTCAAAGAATTTAGGGCTAAATCCCAGCTGCCTTCCAGCGAAGTGTTGCAGTAACACGCCCTAGTGGTTTTAACAGCCGGGGTGTAATCCTGGCCCCATTGAAATCAGTCAATGAGATTTTGCTATTGACTCCATTGGGGCCCTGCTCTCTTAACGGCAGCCTGATGCTAGCATAGGCAGCCCTCCTGGAAGTGCAGTGACCTGTCTGCAGTAATACCCCCCGTTCCCACATACTGTGGCGCTTTCCTTCTCTAGCTCTCAAAGCATTTTATGAAGGAGGTCGGTATCGTTATCCCCATTGTAGGTGGGGAAACTGAGGCACAGAGTGGCGACTGTTAACTCACTGGCCCAGCTACTCCCTGGGGCAAGTCTGAGGCCCAGCAGGGATCAGACATGTTGAGGGTAAGAGGTGGTACCAATTGCACTTTCTCAGGCATTTCATGGTAGTGAGAGGATTCCCCTTGGGGCTGAAGAAAAGCTGGGTCCCCGAGGGTTTGATGCCCACGAGAGTTACCAGGTCTACTGTCCCTCAGAGCCAGCGAGAGATCTATTCACAGGGAAGGCGGGGTCACCTCAGGCATGGCTTCCCCAATGGTATCCCTCCCTGAGTGCTGCCTGAGCTCATGATGGCCTATTACAGGGTGAAGGCATCTGACACCGTGTCCTTTGTCCTTAAGGATTTGGCTATAATAATATTACATCATTCCCTAGCAAAGACCCCCTAACGCCATGTGGGGTCTAAAAGGAGTTCCCCTTCCTGGAGGATAGTTACTGCTGTACAGGCCAGGTGCACTAGGGAAAGGTTGCCTTCAATTGTAGCATCTGCTGTACCGGTAAGGCAGGATGGCCTCCCCAGTAAGGGGGCCTTGGTCATCCACTCCAAGCTGGTGGTTCTGAATTAGCTAATACGGGATAAAACCAAGCAGTTGAATGAAAAAGGAAGGATGTGTGGGTTCAGTGAATGGGGCTGGGAGGTGGGATCCTTGGGTTGTGTCCTTGGCTCTCTGCGTGACTTTAGCCTTCGTGCCACATTCTGCCCAGTGTGTGTAATGGATGTGTCTTCTGGACTGGCAATAGGGCTGATCCTGCTGTTCAGGGATGTGCAAGGGAACAGAGTAGTTCTCGCCCCACTCCACATCAGTCCATTTATTCCTACCCCCTCCATGTCAGACAGTCGTACTGTGCCCCTCTCCCTGTGGGTTGGAGGCAGGGCAGCACTGGACAACCAGCCTGGAGCCAGGGCCGCTCCACTGGAGAACCCCCAAGTTTCCCCCAGATTGCTGTCTTTCTGCCCCAATCTGAGCATCCCTAGGAGATTGAATGGCCTATATTGGAGGTCAGGAGAGCACTCAAAATCTTCCTCAAGCACATGGAGCCATATCGGAGGTCCACAGCACTTTTCATCTTGTATCAGTGTCAAAGTGAAGGAGGCCTCTAACTCCTCCACTACAAAAAAGGATTAAGGCATATATTGTCGAAGTCGATAGAGCCTCTGGAGTGAGTCCACCAGACAGCAGTAGAGTCCACTCCCCGAGGGGTTCAGCGACCTCTTGGGCAGAAAGGTCTGGTTCTTCACATAAAGAAATCTGTCAGGCAGCTACATGGCCATCAGCGTTCACAAAACACTACAAGGGTGATGTCCTTTCTTCTTCGGCTTCGGGAGCAGGGTACTTCTGAATGTGCATTCCCAGTAGGAATCCAGGCTCAGCACATAGTTTTAATCCTCCCAGCCTAGGGTTGAGAACTACTTAGCGCATCCCACAATGCAGCGTGTCGAACAGGGGGGTGAGGGAGAAGAGAGGAAAAATTCCTTCTTACTTGTGAATTTTCCTTCTAATACCTTCCCTGTTTGACAGTCTGGCCCACCTGGAGAAGGATTCACTTCTAGAATTGAAGTTGATGCTTCTGTCCTCTGTTTTCCCACATTAGCATGGAACATGCGTGTTTGCATAAGGGAATATTGGTCTATTCCCTAGGGCTCTGTTACAGGTTCCCATGGTAGGTGACATAGTGGTATATGCAGTTAATAATGTTCAGCTTTGGAAGCTGTCATTCTGGGGTTCTGCAGAGGGTGGTCCTGCCTCTGGGCTGGCTGTCAATCTTCATTCTGCTTGCAGGGGGAGCGGGAGCACCCTGCAGTACAGAGTGTCAGACAGGGTGGGTGTTAGAAAATTCACAGGTCAGAAGGCAATTTTCCATTCTCATCATTACCACAAATTCTTTCTTCCTTTTTCTAGATCCTTGGGGCACGACATCTTCCCAAAAATGGGAGGGGGATCGTTTGCCCGTTTGTGGAGGTCGAGGTGTCTGGAGCGGACTACGACAATGCCAAACAGAAGACGGAGATCGTGGGTGCGTACCGGGGTTGGCTCTCCCAATGGAGCCACGGGCGCAAAAAATCTCGGGTGCAGTTTGTGCCTGCGAAACAGGAGCCCCTGATAGAATGTGCTTCGCCCTCTTTGTAAACGGTTTCCCTTCCCATTGATCCTGGTGTGTGATCTGACACTTGGGCATGCATCTTCACTAGGGGAAAATACTGTGTTAGCGAACATGAGGGAAATTCCTCGTGAAGACCCAGCACTTTGTAATTTTAACAGGGGCTAGGCTTCTCCACAGTCTGTACATAGACCCGCCGCTCTTCGCCAGGATCTTGCCTCATGTTAGCTGCCTCTGCCTCCCCTCCACCCCCATACACTTTATTGCGGCTCTCACCCTTGAGCCTGCAGGCATGGGGCCAGCGAGAGGCTTGGGAAGCCTCGTGCTCATGCTAAACATTAGTCCTGAATGTACTGTGGGCGCCGTTTGATGTGGTGAGCAGCGTTGCACACCCTGCAAATAGCTCAAAGCTTCACTGAGCCAAGCTGGGGCTCTATTCCGGTACTGCATGGTGTGAGCTCAGTGCTAATGGGGGACATGTCAATGTGAGAAGCACATTTCCACCTGCAAACACCACAGTTCCTCTAGAGACCAAGACTGTAAATGAAAGAAGCTAGCAAACCCTCCCCACACACACCATTTCTCTGTTGTTTCAATGTGTTTCCTCTGTGTATTTGACAGCACTTCGGGGATAGTCATTTTCATGGTTTCCCCCTCTATAGACAGCTGGGGTGAAATTCGCCGCTAGTCACTTTCCCCTCTGGCTGAAAAGATCCAAAGAAACCTCCATCAGAGGTGCAGAAATCCTTATCTGTGTTCCCTTTGAAGGGATATCGTTTAATTCTAGTACTTGCTATTTAAAGGGTGCGGGGGGTGGGGGGCGGCACTGTCAGAAAATGGATATCTTTTTTTTTTTTAAAGGGGCCAATATTAAAGAATTCCAGTTGACATTGTCCCTTCAAAGAGTGTAGCCATGCCACATTGCAGGCGCTTGTTCTCCTGAGGGAAGAGTTACGAGAATTCTTCCTCACCTCAAAGCATGCTGGGCTGCTCGGAGACTCTTTGAATAATTTGCCATTTGTAGCTAATGTAGAACTGAGGGGTGAATGGCAAGTTTGCTGGACTCAGTCTCACTCCAAGGCACAGTGGCAGGGTTTTGAACTTCGTGCCATACCGTTGAAGGAGGTGTGAAGGAATGTTGGTTTAACCGTTACGGCAGGGGAGTGGGTGTCCACTGTCCTGGATTCACTCCCTGTTGTGCCATGGACTTGAGGCATGAAATGGGGCAAGTCACTTGAGCTGTCTGTGCCTCAGTTTCCCTCTCTGAGGTTTATAACGCTGAGCTGCCTGACTGAGCAGATTGATGTTGTGCTAGGTGCTGTACAAATAGAGAGCTCAAAGCCCAGAGCTCCTGGACAATTGTTGTTAGATCTGTAGGTGCCAAAGGAAACAAGATTTCTGGAAGGGAGCAGTTGCCAGCGTTCACTCCAGACACTAAATGAGCCAGACTTCAAGTAAATTTTTCTGAGAAATCAAACGGGGAGAAGCCGTGGGGAAGATCCATACTGCAGCAAAGGGAATGTTGGCGCTGGTGTTTGATTGATTGATTGTGCTTTTAAATAGCGGACAATGGCCTGAACCCCCTCTGGCCCCAGAAGCCCTTCAATTTCCAGGTCAGCAACCCCGACTTCGCCTTCCTGCGCTTCGTGGTGTATGAGGAGGACATGTTCAGTGACGAGAATTTCTTGGCGCAGGCCACGTTCCCAGTGAAAGGCCTGAAGACAGGTAAAGTTGGGTGTTTGCACGCCTGTGTGTCCCCTTCCCGCTATTGCGCAGACTTTGTGGCGGGAGGACCTGTCTCAGGGTGGGTCAGCAGCATGGCAGAACACAGGGCTCACATCCCCTCTGTCCCTAAGTCTCCTAGTCAGCTTCTGGGGATGGAGTAGGCCAGCGGTCCTTGCTCCAGGTCCATCAACTCACCCGCTTCCTGGGTTGCATCCAAACCCTCCTACATAGGAAACCACTAGGATTCTGTTGCAAGTGGGATGCAACCAACAGATGGAGCTTTGCTCCCCTAGCCTCCTAACTGCATACTGTGTACAGGGCTCTGCTGGTGCCCTGCTCCCTTTAGGGATGTAACAGTTATTTGGTTTCTGGGTTCAGGAGGGCACTGGGGGAAGGGTGAGGCCCTGCATCCCTTCAATTTACTTCTGTGGCCTGGGTGCAACAAGCACCCATTGTTGCCTTGGGTCATGCTCACAGGGCTTGAAATGGGGAAGAGCTTTTCGGATGGTAGGCAGCTTTTTAATCCGGCAGGAAAATGCCTAAAGCGATCCACTGGCTGGAAGCTGAAGTTAGGCACGTTCAGACTAGAAATAAGGTGGACATTTAACAGAGGTATTTACCCATTGGAACCATGTAACTAGGGACATGGTAGACTCTCCATCCCTTGCAATCTTTAAATCCAGACGGGGTGCCTTTCTACAAGGGATGCTGTAACTCAGACAAAAATTATGGGCTTGATGCAGGAAATATGGGGTGAGGGCCTCTGGTCTGTGCTATGCAGGTCACACTAGAAGGTCAGACCAGTCCCTTCTGGCCCTAAAATCGATGAATTTCACCTCCTATGTCGAGGGGCCAGCATGAAGTCTGTACACCACTCAAGCTTCATTGACAGCCTCAACCTAAGGATTAAGTGGGCACAGACGTAGTGCTGGCTCCTCTGCACAGGGGTGTGTTAGAAATGCCCCGTCTGCTTTGTGCTGATTAGAGCAAGCAGGTGTGTGCACGGTTGGGGTGGCCGTGTGCATGAGGCTCTGCTTGTGCTGTGCATGGCCCCCGTTAGCCACCCTCCCCTGGGTTTCCCTCAGTAACGGTTGTGCTCTCTTTGTATCAGGGTACAGAGCTGTGCCGTTGAAGAACAACTACAGCGAGAACCTGGAGTTGGCCTCCCTGCTTGTTAAAATAGAGATCTTCCCCGGCAAGGTAAGGCTGGTCCACTTGAATGTGGTCCTTCTCTGCAACACAGGAGAGCAGATACACTGATGGGCTTAGAAACCAAGGGTTGACTGGTCCAGAGGGCTTTGAGCTCCCCTGATGACTAAGGGTATATCTGCAGTGCAATGAGAGATGTGACTGCAGCACGAGGAGACGTACCTGAGCCAGCTTTGATCTAGGTAGCTCCGATAGCAGCAGCGAAACTGCAGCAGCACAGATGTACAAGGCCACCCCGCACCATCATTATGTACTCAAGCAGCTAGCCACCTCTTCACTGCTCTTGTCACTTGGGCTAGTTAGATCAAAGCTAGCTCAGGTTTGTCTGCCCATGCTGCATTCACACCTTTGACTGCAGTGTACACACACTCTAAGTGAGACTGTAATTCATTGTTTCCTCACCACCTTACTAATCTTACTTCACAACCTGAGCTTCCCATCTCATCAGATCTCCCATCTAAGCCAGGGTAAGTCTGGTCTGTGCTTGGAGGAGAGACCTCTGTTGAACAGCTTAGCGCTCCAGGAAGCGGGGTGGCACTGCCCGCTGTGAGGCAGCACTGACCTGCCCTCCATGCTGGAGATGCTATCTCCTGGGTGGCTCTTAAAGATGAGGTCCCGACCTCTTGGCGATTCGTTAAAGAGCCCACTGCTTTCTCTGCCATGCCTGCTGCGCAGCGGCACAAGCGGGATTTTGAATGGCCTCCTCCATCCTAAAGACAGTGACGGGTTGGATCACAGAAACCCCCTTGGGAGCTGCCACCCGATGTGCAAAGACTACCCCTGCTCCTGTTTTCCCTGCCAGCTCAGGACTCCAGCACCCTGTCTTGCCGAGCCAGACACTCCCATCTGCTGCAACACAGACCCAGGGTCTGAATCACTTGTCCCAAAGCTGCAAGTTTACCTGAAAACAGCTCACAGAAGTGTGCTTGTCTTTAGCACTCAGATGCCCAACTCCCAATGGGGTCTAAACCCAAATAAATCTGTTTTACCCTGTATAAAGCTTATGCAGGGCAAACCCAGAAATTGTTCGCCCTCTATAACACTGATAGAGAGATATGCACAGTTGTTTGCTCCCCCAGGTATTAATACATACTCTGAGTAAATTACTAAATAAAAAGTGATTTTATTAAATACAGAAAATAGGATTTAAGTGGCTCCAAGTAGTAACAGGCAGAACAAAGTAAGTCACCAAGTAAAATAAAATAAAACGCGCAAATCTATGTCTAATCAAGCTAAATACAGATAATCTCACCCTCCGAGATGCTTCAGTAAGTTTTTCTCAGACTGGACACCTTCCAGGCCTGGGCACAATTCTTTCCCCTGGTACAGCTCTTGTTCCAGCTCAGGTGGTAGCTAGGGGATTCTTCATGATGGCTTCTCTCCCCCTCTGTTCTCTTCCACCCCTTTATATATCTTTTGCATAAGGCGGGAACCCTTTGTCCCTCTGGGTTTCCACCCCCCCCTACTGGAAAAGCACCAGGTTAAAGATGGATTCCAGTTCAGGTGACATGATCACATGTCACTGCAAGACTTCATTGCCCACTTGCCAGCACACACACATATACAGGAAGACTCACAGGTAAACACAGCCATCTGCGGATAATGGTCCTTGTTAATGGGAGTCATCAAGATTCCAAACCATCATTAATGGCCCACACTTTACATAATTACAATAGGCCCTCAGAATTATGTTTTATATTTCTAGTTTTAGATACAAGAGTGGTACATTTCTACAAATCGGATGATCACACTCAGTAGATTATAAGCTTTGTAATGATACCTTACAAGAGACCTTTTGCATGAAGCATATCCCAGTTACGTTATATTCACTTATTACCGTATTTTTTCTAAAACTATCCCAGTTACATTATATTCACTTATTATCATGTTTTTATAAAACCATATAGACTGCACAACGTCACACCCAGAACATCCCCCTAGTCTCTCACAACAAACCAGCTTGGTTCTTCCAAGCTGGTCCCTGTGAGAAACTCACCACACAGCTGGGAATAACTGGCAGCCCCTGCTCAGGAGACAAGCATGGCATATTGTGGGCCCCTCTGGGGCATTGCCTGAGCTGGGTTTATCCCAGTGGGGTGAGGCAGAGCTCTGGGGATGAAGATTGAACGCACCTGCCTGTGCTGCACTTGGTTTTCATTGGATCCTCACTCTAAAGCTCCCATCTGAGCAGGTATAGTTCAAGCTTCCAGGCCCAGGAGATGTTGGTTTCTAAACTCATTCCCTCTGGGGGAGAGGAGAGGGAGAGAGGCTGATATCTCATCTCAATTGGGCTGGTTCATGTAGTTCATGTCATGCACAAGTTTTGCCTGAAGGGTTGGTAATTCCCTTTCTAGCAGAAGGTCTTTTAAAAAACAAAATCTTGCCCTAAAGCCAGTGTTTGTCTGTTAAAATTGGGGCAGATGTCTAAAGAGCATCAGCGCACAATTGCATGCGCATCTGCACATCTGACTTTTTCACACCATCTTCGTGTTTGCACAACTACACAGACAGTTCTGGTTCCTTGCAGAGAATGTGCATGCAGTCCCAGTGCTGTGCTTTAAAAATCACTTCCCCTTGTTTCTGATTCAAGCAGGAAAATGGAGAAATTAACCTCTTCGGTGCCTCAGCCCTCCGAGAACGGACAGGTGACCCTTCAAGTCAGCTCCTGACAAACCGAGCCCGGGAAGGGTCCTTCGACGCCCGCTACCAACAGCCATTTGAGGATTTCCGGGAGCAGCTAGCAGACCAATTTGACAGCCGAGAGCGAAGGTAACACGGTGGAGTTTTGGAAAGGGACTTGTTCTCTCTACCTTGAGCTCCTATAACGCAAACCAAGCATGGCCTTGGATCCAAGCTACCCTTGATTTTAATCAGTGCAGCTTCTATTGCCTAGTCATCAGTTTTCCTTATCGTCTCCCTGTGACGCTGTCTGAGTGTAAGCTCCCTGATCTCGACAGCCCATGGAGACAGTTACCAGGAGTCCAGTGTGACTCAGTGAGGGGTTTGGTTTAGTGGCAGAGCTAAGGCAGGGGACATCCTACCATTCATGGAGAGGCACTGGAACCTGTTGTCATAATGTAGGCCCTGTGTCAGCGCTGTTGCAGCACACTCCCCACCTGCCCACACTTCTCCGCCCACGCTGGTGTGTCAGGCACCTGCAAAGCGCCTGCATTTCATATTGACGGGTGGATGAGCGAGGTTCATCTGCAGAGTTCTGGCCTGCAGGACAGGTGTGTATCTCACAGGTTGCCATTCACGCTCTGGGGCAGGAAGGAAGTCCTCACTCTATTTAACACTAAGTGAGGAGGAGCTGGGGCTCTCAGGGCTGGCTGTGCTCCAGCTGCCAGGCTCCTGGCTTCGAGCTGAGAACCTGAAAGCTCTGAGAGCCCTGGCTTAACTCGAGTCTCTGAGGACTCCTTTCCATAAAGCTGGGAGCCTGGAATTCTTGGGACTGGCATACAGGGTTTGGGGAAGCCCAGCCATGCAGACTGTTGTGGGGCTGGGGACATCAGGGCTTCCAGACTGCTGGCTCAGGCTGCCCCGCTCAGGAGTCACACAGCCCATGGAGCCTCCTGGGCCAGGAGTTTGGAAGCCAAGGTTCTTGGACAGTCCACATTATGGGGCTGCACCAGAGCCCCAGCAGCAGCTCCATGAAACCGACATTGAGTGACTAGCAGCCGTGAAACTGACAAGAACGTCAGTTTCATGTTTCATTTGGGAACCAGAAGGTTTTGGTGTTTCTGAAACAAAATTTTCTATTTGCCAAGAAACTTCAGCAAAATGGGTTTCATTCAGCAGTACAGCCCACATTTCAAACCTGAAATGTCTCTCAACCCCCAAAACACAAGTTTCGGCCAGCTCTATCTAACAGTTCTGAGACGGATGCATAAGGGCTTAGCGGCCCAGCCTGAGGCCCAGTGCTGGAGCTGGGTGACCTTGCAATGACTGGGATTATAAGTAGTGCACAATTGCTTGTTAAGGTCTCTGCAGCAGAATTCATCTCAAGCCCCTCCCCTTTCCTCTCTTCCCCTGCAGGGTACTGCGAAGAACCAGGGTGAATGGGGACAACCGGCTCTAGCCCAACTTCGCCTGCTGAAAAGCACCTCTAGTGCTTGTGATTATCACGGAACGCTGTGAACTGGTTTCTATGGAAACGTCACTGCTTTGGCCTACTTTCAGGCAGCTTTTCCAGTTTCTCTGCTGGTGTGTGTTTGAGTGGAGAAATTAAAAAAAACTCACCACCCAACCACCTTCTACTACCAAGCCCATAATGAAGTGTATTAATGTGTATAGCCTGTCAGCTATTAAGGCTGGAGACAAAACTGTGTCTATAATCAAACAAACTCCCTTTGAGCCTATATCCTGAGAAATCTAGATCCCAGCCCTGCTCAGAAGCTGGTAGGGAAGCTTTTTACAGCATTAACTCGATGTAAATGTTTCCCACTCCCTTGAGTGACCTGCCTCTTCTCCCTCCTTTTACATGCCCCCATAGGGAAGTACTTTCTAAGAACCAGGCAGGATGCACCTCAGTCCTATTGTTGTTGTATCAAAGTACCTGTATAGCCTCTGCCTCTGGGTCCAGTAGTGAAACTCAAAGTTTACAAGGCCCCTCTAGCTTTGTTACAATAAAAAAAGTCAGTGTTAAGTGTGTAACGTCTCCGCTTTCTCGAGGTTTGCCCTAGCTGCCGAGTTCATGCTCCACTGCAGAAGAGCGCCTAGTGGCCACTCTTCAGTGCGTTTCAAGCCAGCAGCTAGCTGTGGTTTTTGCATGCAGTCTCTCTTACACCTTCAGGCGGACCTGGAGCTCGCTCGCTCTCCCTGCCTTCATGTTGCCTTGTAAACAGTTCAGGCAAGGGGTCTGAAATACTGTGGGTTATTGCTCTCTGTCGCCCAAACTGCACATCAGGTAGGGAACGCGTGCCGCGGAGGCCTGCATGAGCACTCCCAACTGAAGGTGTAGCAAGAAAATGGAGTGCAGAAAGCTGAGGCTCACCAGAGAAGCTACACGAGATACTGAGCCAAATTCAGCCCTGCTGGCAGCAGGTGCAGCTCCACAGAAGTTTCTTCCTACTTGGCGTGCAGCCACCAGTCTGGTGGTTTCTGGCAGTGCTGCTTCTAAAGGAACACTCCAGGCTGCTGAAACTCATGTGACTGAGTAGCTCTGGTTTAGGTTAGGAGCTGGCAGTTGCAAATTCTGCTTTGACTGGTGGCTTCTCCAGCTGAGATTTAGACAAGTTGTTGCCACCCTTATTTTGGAGGTGGCAAAGCTTTGCCTTTTCTTTTAAAGTGAGAGGAAGAACACCTCTGGCCGAGCGTTTGCATGATCTGCAGAGGGAATGTGTCCTTTTCCAAACAGAACTGCTCCAGGGCTAGTGATAAATGGCTACTCAACTGCACAACAGTAACTCGTACCTGCTCTCTAGGCTGGGGTCTGAATTTAGGTTATTCATGTATTTATCATGGGGGTGGAAAGACAAGGCAGGATAATAGACCATGCTACAGCCCTTGAGGCAGGCTGTATGCTCCACAGCAGTGCACTATATTGTGTTTGGCTCTTGACTGGTATTGCTTAAGAGCCATACTCCCCACTCAGCCTGAGGATTGTGTTCAGGTCACTCTTTTAAAGACCAGAATGTCCAATAAAAGTCCTCAACTTACTTTTTCCTCATTGTGTTTTGTGCGGAGGGGGCTGGGTAGGGAGAAACGGCAAAGCAAACCCTAATATGCCCTGGTATGTTCTTGTAACAAGGAGCACATGTGCAGACAAATAGCTGAAACAGCGATAAACGTTCAGGGAGAACGTAGAGCGAGACACCTAGGAAGGTTGCAGAGGAATATGGATCCTGCAAAGCCTGGACCAGGCTGCTTGAGGAAATTGTCATGCTGTTTTCCAGAGGGATGGAAGAGTGCACAATGTGTAAGTTATTCGATTCCGTGGACCAATGCAGTCCTTGAGTATTTCAGACCCTCCCATGCGCCCTAGGAGCCATCACTTTCTTTTAAGTCTATGTGGGGGACTCTACCAGCATTGCTGCTGGGCGTTGGGCACTGCCAATGTGTGTCTTCGTGCTCTGTTGGGCAAACTGCACTCCCGGGAGTAGCCAGGCTCACTGGGAGGGGGTGACATCAGAACTGAAGGCCACACAGACCTTGGTGTCTCAATGAATTCTTGTTTTTAAAAAGGGGAGAAGGGTCAGGAGATTGTGAGGTACAACGTCTGGCAAATCAGATGTATCAGCGCTGGCCCATACTACCTTAATACCCTGTGTTTCAGGACCCGTTGCTTGTGGGAACAGACTAGTGATTGGAAGGCAGTCAGACTGAATGCTGTTAGCTGGGGTGATCCTAACTCGAACATCAGTGTGAACTAAAACCCAGACACCCCTCTCCTGCCTCCAGGCTGTCCCTACCCATGTGCTCTCTGGAAGCTGATTTACATTCAGCCATCAGGTCTCTGGCTTTGGTGACACAATGGGGCAGCAGATCGAAAGTCATGGCTGCTTTTATATTTAAGTGGCGATTTTTATTGATTTAAATCTGGAAGTGTGTGTGTCTGATCCAGAGGACTGAAGTGACCTTGCCCAGGGATGGTCTGGCACAGCCAAATCCCTGTGGACTCCAGAGGGTTGTCTGTCCTAGAGGCTTACCTTTGAGAAGTGTGCTTCCCCCTTCAGGCCCCAGCTGCCATTCCCCCAGGCACGCTCTCCCTGTTGGACTCCGCGTGCGGGAAGCTGGGCAGTACGTCTCACAAACAACTGGCTTTGAAAAGAGAGTTGTAACGAAGAGCCACTGTGCAGCAGCTCTTGGCAAAGCACAAGGCAACAGGCCTGGCCCTTTAATCCCACCGTTCCAACTGATACAGACACCACCACGCGGCTCCTGTTCATATTTTATGCTCTTTATTTAGGAACAACTGAAAAGGTCTCATTTCATTTCACCAAACTGTACAAGCAAGCTCCCCCCCGCCCCCCTCCATATATACAAAAGTAAGGGAAACTTGTGGTTCACTTCTCAGAAGTGGCATTGTTGCTACAGGGAGCTCTCACCCACAGAATAAGAGCATGTAAAGTCCATGGCGGGGGCAAGCGACCCTAGCACTAGTAATAACTATAGCCCACAGTCACAGGCAGCTTTGTTTCTCTTTAAAACCTTCACCAAAACTACCTTCTCACGCAGGTGCCATGTTAAATCTCCTAATGATGGTCTTTAAAAAAAATCCAAAATATTCCCCCCCCCCATACAAAGACAACGACAGCCAAGCCTTTTCGCTGTCCCTAGCCACGAGGCTACCCTTATGAAAGGTCCCATTGCAGCTCCAATTCTAGTTTCCTTTGGATGAATCCCAGCTCACTCAGCACCAGGATGATTTTAAACAAGACACCATATGTTGACTGTATGGTCTGATGAGAAGCAGTGTGTGTTCCAAAGCCTGACGTTTAGTGCCGTGCTACCAACATGGGGTGAAAAATTCCTGACAAAATTCCTAACAAAAATAATCAGATGGGGGCTGAGCAAAAGTGCAACTTTATCAAGAAGATTTCTACCCTGCTGTCTTCACTGGCACCAGTGAACAGCATATGGGTAATACCGTCCATCTACCAGGACAGGAGAGAGTGGCTTAAGGCCAGCCTTCAAATGAGCGACCAAGTGGAGTGGTATGCTCTTTGCTGAAATGAGGGACAAGTGTAAGAGATCCCGGCTGCATCTGGAAGAGTTCAGTTAATTTGTTTTCCTGTTTGTTTTCAAGCTTTTGTGGCGCTAGTCTGAAATTCCTGGCAGATCCCATTGCCAGTAATGGACACAGCAGGAACTACCCTGGCAAAGAGAGGGACTGAATCCCCTTTTCGTGCTGGCAGCTTCAACTGATGCTTACATGTTTGTTTTGTAATCGCCGAGAAATTAAAATTGAGGTTTGGTCACTAGGGTTCCCTGTCTTAGGAACTGGTTTCACAAATTTAAAACACAGTTTCACTGGGAAGTAGGGAGAGATGAGTTTAACAGTATCACTGTAACTATGAGTACTACCATGTGAAGGTACAGTATTCTCATCTCTCTCATGCTGATCTGTGCCAAGCTCAGAAAAACATCTTACCATCTAAACTACCCCTACCCGCAACATTTCATCTTCTGTTCAGGCTCTATGATCAATGGCTCCAGCTTTATTTGGGGAAAAGGTTTTTCAAGTTTCCAATCATCAAGAATTGCTGCTCTATGTGGAAAAACGAAACTGCTATTCAGCCTTCCAGATCCTCCTCCTGAATGTATAGGTCAAGAGCTGGCACCGACAGCAAATACAAGAGAATATGGTGTCTTGTCGCTGTGCCTCTCACTGCAAGTCATGCCATCACATAAGGGTTGTTAAACTAGATACCCAACATGACTATTTAGTTTCATACCACGGCTGCCATTGTGCCCTGCCTTTGCTGATTGATTCTCATGCTGTGAAACATTTGTCTTGGCAAATGACCCACAAAGGCCACTGTAGGAAGGGATAGACCATTCTGCTTTAAATAACTGAAACATCAGGTGCAAGCTCTCTGCAGATCGCTGCATTATAGCAAGGCTAAGCAAGCACGGAGAGTCACAGGGCTGTGTCCATCCCACTGTGCCACGTTTGGAACTCGGCTTAATTTACGGGCCTGATTTGCAGAATTGCTGAGTGCCCACAGCTCTAGCTGAAGTCAATGGGAACTGTCAATACTCAATATCTTTGAAAATCAGGTAGCAGCTGTACAGCCGTCCCTCTCCAGCTATTTTATACCATGGGCATCACTATGGTATCCCCTAATTTTACCCTTTGTTCTTTGTTTTCCACAATTTGGGTATCCCCAGCCTTTCCAGCCTGTATTAGCCCCCAAAAAGCAATCTGATAGGAAATATTCTCTCCTGTTTCAGTCCTTGCCGTGCTGTGCAGCAAGTGGTCAGCAGGGGAGGGAGAGCAACCGGACTGGGTTACCTAGGGAGGTGATGGAATCTCCTTCCTTAGAGGTTTTTAAGGTCAGGCTTGACAAAGCCCTGGCTGGGATGATTTAGTTGGGGATTGGTCCTGCTTTGAGCAGGGGGTTGGACTAGATGACCTCCTGAGGTCCCTTCCAACCCTGATATTCTATGATTCTGCACCACCACCTACTAGTACTGATCAGTCTGATTCAAACACTACACTTTTAAGAGTTACAGGGGTGCAGCTCGGGGAGTATATTTCCAATTCACGATCAAATACCAAAGTTGTTAACACAATCACCTGTTAGGCTGGACACCTGCAGGTAATTGTCAAATGCAGGCAGCTGCAAATGCCCTCTGTACATGAACCACTAACTAACCAAGCCACTATCCCAATGACTCCCTTGTGAAACTGGAACTAGGAACTAAGTTGAGGAACCAGGTAGAATTAAATTTTATAGTGTTTTTAAAAAAAACATCCAGGATGCTAGCCAAAAAATCAGAGCCTTGTCTAGCAGATCACTGCTTTTACTAACTAGCAAGCCAATTCTATTCCTAGAACCAGGAAAACCTACGATTCTTTTTAAAGATGAGACATGACTGGATATTAATCTGGATAGCAGGTTACTAAGCACTTGAGTTTCTGGTTTTAAGCCAGCCCACCTCCTATACAGAAGTCTAATGTTAGTAAGATGGAAGCAACAACATAAGACTGAAGATAAAAGGATTTTTACAGCTGTGCAACCATCAAGTCCGAGTGAACATAGGCTCGCTTTTAGCTGAGGGAGTTGGAGAAATTAGTTTTTAAAAATTTCCTCTCCTAATAAGTAAATGCTAACTCACCACTCCATCTAGCCAATTCTCTCCTTTTATCTAGTCCAAGTGACAACAATTGTTGATTAGAGGATGATAAAAGTTAATACTGTCTAGGTGCGAAATTGTGGTGGCGTTTCCTGCAACACTAGGTGCAGAAGTGCTGCTGATAGGACTGTCAAACCACTTCACAGTGACCAAGAGCTGGTCCACAATTGTTTCAGTGTCAGGCACAAGCACACTTCTAATGTCCTGCACCAAACCCTATGTATTTTGGTATTAGTGCCTACTTCATTTCAACCTATTTAACAGAGGTGTTAGATGAACCACGAATGACAGTAGCTCTCCCTTCTTTATAACAAACCCTTTTGGAAATACCAAGTAAAAATGTGTTGGTAATAAACATATGGGAGATTAAAAAGGAACCAGGTTTCTTTTGGTGTCTGGTTCAGAAGCTTTATCCCAGACCCATTTTATCACTCCCACCTTCACCATGCCCGGAGAGGTGCAATTCCGTTCACTGGACTGCATGCCTTTAGGGAAGCCAGGCTGCATGGAATTTGAAAATTCCTCTAACGAAAAGGGACTAAATAGCCTGATGTCTTTACATATCCACAAACGAGCATTTAGCAGCTTTAACCCTTCAAGGCTGGGTTTTTCTGGGTACACCACGGCCAAATTCCCTTCAGCTGACTAGACGTTTCCTTTTCTTTTCTGGGCTACTGGCAGACTAAAATCCAGCTGCAAAAAAATTCAGCCAGTGCCTGGAAAGAAAGATTTTAGAAACCCATTCACAGGGTGATGATTGAACATTTCCTTCAGTGGCCTGGAGGTGGCTCTTTCTAAGTGTATGCCAACAAAGTCACCTTGAAGGGGCAAACTGTGTTTCCAGCATCTTTATATAGCACTCAGTAAAGTGTACATTTTGAATGTACATCTTATGCAGTAAAAATTGCGCATTTGAACAGTACATGTGCATATTTAAATACTCCTGCACGTATATAGACACTAGAGAGTAAATGACTTACCTGTATTTGTTCTCTTTAGTTAACACTGTACATGCAGCCATACTCTTGGGTCACCAGATTCCCGGCAGTAGCATCAAGAGTAATCGTCAGTGCTAGACGTTTCTAGTCCTTCTCCCTCCCGTCCCTTGCTGTTTCAGGGTATACAAGATGACAGTTGCAGGGACTCCAGCAGCCATTGTGGAACTGACATCTCGGGAGCAAGAACGTAGGGGCTCAGCCATGCAAATGTTGAGCTCACACCATTGAGAGGCTGATTATTGTTGCTGGTATGCCTCTAACAAAGGTTTAGTGTGACCTGTACAGTTGCAATGTTGTCTTCTGCATAAGGAGAAATGCTATTCTATCAGCATGGTTCTCTGAACTGCCACAGACTGAACTAACAGGCGCAGGTGTCCTACTAGAGTCCCTTCGTTCCCAAACGATGCTATGACTAAAGAGAGCTACTCCTCTTAATTATTGAATAGTAAGGCCTTCTAAATACGAGCATGAGGAAAGGGGAATGCTATTCAAGAAGATGACTTAAGGTAGAGATCAAATGCTACCTTTGGAAGAGACGCCGGGAGAGATTTAAAAAGACCAACCTCTCTTTATAAACTTACACTAGATCAGGTCACTTAGAGCTTGAAACTCACCCATTTAATAAATATCTCCTACCACTGAGAATAAAGCCTTCCACATTAAGAAAAATTACACTAGACTCAAAAATAATAAAGAAGCTGCTTTAAAGCAGTAATAGCCCAAGACATTGTAGACATATACATATTAAAAAGGTATATGATTAAGTGAGCACTTAATATACCAGATAACTAAAAACTAGTTTGCAACATATTTATTGTCTAGTTCACAGAAAGACAGGACTACAGTTGGAGAACTAGGTAAGGTGACCTGGACCAATAAGTATAGGTTAATAGCATTAGCACAGTGGGACAAGAGAAGGAATCTAATTCAACTAGTGTTGCAACAAGCAAGCTTCCAGTCTAGAAAACTGGTTGCCTGCCTAATAGAGTCCTACTAGGCAACGATGACTTGAAATGTTAGCAGAAAGCCAAATTTTTGTCTGTATTTGATCTCTGAAGAACAGTTTGTTCTCTATAAACAATGAAAGGGATTCCAGGGCAGGATGGAAACGTTAAGTGCTAGTTCTCCGTAATTAACGTGAGGCTTGGAGAGTAATGGGCTGTGCTACATTCCACTGCCTAGCATAAAAGAAATAAAATTACTCCAGGCAGTAGGGGAAGAGATTATATCCAACTCTCTCTCCTTTGCAGGTTCCCAACCCCCCACTGGATATTGGAGGGTGTACAATAGCTTATTCCACCCCCATCCCCAGGGAAAGAAATCTACATCCACCCCACTGAATTCATCCTGTTCTTGATACGAAGATTGGCATGTTGCTTCTCAGATCTTCTCTCTTGCTCTGACACACATACTGACACTCATGATGGTATCCTCCATTCCCTGATCTAGGGACCCAAGAGTCGGGGACATATGCAACATTGCCAACCGTTAGAGAACAAACACATTACAAACAGCTGAAGATTAAAAATGTATTGTGCCATGATAGTCCATTTCTATGCAAAAAATACATTTACACAATCAATGTCCAAAATTAATTATGCTTGTCGAGGCGGCTGTCTGCATGTCAAAAGTTGGTTCCATTATATGAATATGAAATCTGAAAGTTTATCCACTGGAAAGGAAACAGCATCCTACGTCACAAGAGTGAGAAGATCTTACTGATGCCCTACTCTGGCCAGCTGGTGAGTAAGATTCTAGATTAGGCTGCAGATGGCACTGCATGAAGAGCCCGATTCTCTTGCTCTCCCTCTCTGATGTGCTGTACTGAAAGGTCTCATTACAGCAGTGCTTTTACACCACTCCCTGCTACTGAGATTCGTATCAGGCCCATGGATTTACAATCTTCTCAAATGTAATCACAGATCCTTCAGAGCAGGCAGTTTAAGGTCAATCTGTTTCTGAAAGAGACAACATACACAAGCGTCAGAATACATGTCACATGCTTACAAAATCAGCACGTAACGCTGGGGCCTCTTCTGCTGGAAGATCTTTCTTTGAGCAACAGCTGGTTGCATCATAAAATGAAGCTACAGAACAGGATCCTGCTGTGAGGAGGAAGGAACAGGGCTGGCGTGAAGGCTAGCAATTGCATGGGGGCAGGAAGGAAGCAGTAGCTACACCCAGGCAGCTGTGGCTGTTGGCAGGATGCCACCTCCTATGGCAGAAGTTTGTTGTAGTTAAGCGAGTCGTCCTCTGGACCACCCTGTTCCAGGGATCTAACAAGATGGAGGATGGCCCCATAGGTGCTGGAACTAGGGGTACTGGGGGTGCTGCAGCATCCCCTGGCTGGAAGTGGTTTCCATTATATACAGGGTTTACAGTTTGGTTCAATGGCTCTCAGCACCTAAGTTCCCTCTAAGCAGCCGTGTGGCCACGCAACTGCCTATTAAGCTCCGTGTAGGGGTTCAGGGCTACAGCGGGGAGAGGCGCCTCTCGCCACCGGCCCCAGCATGGACCTGCCCTGGACGTGCCCAGGCCCACCGGAGCTGCTGGGGAGAGGAGCCCCTCCCTCAGTCCAGCCCAGCCGGAACTGCCGCAGCCGGGGAGAGGCACCTCTCCCCAGGCCAGAGCTGCTGCGGCGAGGGCTGGGGTGAGTCCTCTCTCCCCACCACAGTCCCTGGGCAGCCTGCACCCCAAACCCCTCATCCCAGGACCCACCACAGAGCCAGCACCTCCGCACCCCAACCCTTTGCCCCAATCCTGAGCCCTCTCCCGCATCCTGAAGCTCCCAGCCCCACCCCAGAGCCTGCACCCCCCTCACCCCCTGCATCTGAGCCTCCTCCCACACTCCAAACCCCTCGGCCCCACCCTGCCACATGAATTTTGTTATGTGCACCAACATGAAGGTAATGTGTCTATGTTACAGGGAAAAGTCTATCTAAGCTATGCAATTTGAGTTACGTGAACACTGTAACTCAAGTCGACATAGCTTAGATCTACTTACCGCGAGGTCCACACTATGCGATGTTGATGGGAGATGCTCTCCCGTCAACTCCCCTGACTCATCTCGATCCGGTGGAGTACAGGAGTTGACGGGACAGTGATCTGCGGTTGATTTAGCGGATCTTCACTAGACCCGCTAAATCAACAGTCATCCTCCGGTAAGTGTAAACAAGCTCTCATCAGCCTCTCAATCAGCACAAGAGCAGGGTCCCTTTAAAACCCAACTCTCGTCTAGAAATTGTGTTAAAAAAAAAATTTGAAGGGGGGGAAGCCACTAAAGATTGGAACTTAAGTCTTTAAAGGCCTCTAAACTTAGCACAGTTGTGTGGCAGGCAGGAGCCTGGCTTCAGCCTGATCTGCTGGGCCTCTGTGCTTTAGCGAGGTTTAGTACAGAAAACTGTCCAGCTGCTGAGGATTCTCAAGGAGATGGCTGGGGCTCTGGGAGGGAGAGTGCATCCTCACCCACCCGGCAGCACTCTGCCAAAAAAGCTCCCCCCCGTATTACCTTGTTCAAAGAATCCATGTTGGGCTCAGAAGCAACCCTGTTTTCCAGGAGGAGTCCTGGAAGGGGCATTAGGGCAGCTGGCAGCCAATGCCATTTCAGCACAGCTCCACTGGAAACCCCGCCCCTCAGTGCTCTTCCCTCAGGGCAGTGTCCAACTTTCACATGGGCATGTCTCGCAGTGCTCTATGTACTTTGTGCTTACAGTGTTTTCCATGCTTAGATCTGAAGGCACTGTACAAAGTGTGTGTGTGGAGGCGGGATGGGATGGGCCCAAGGTCGCACAGCTGGGAAACAAACAGAAGCCAGGCCGCCTGCCTCCCAGTCAGTTGCCCTATGTAAAGCAATCCTCTCCTGGCAGGAGGATGGACTAGATTCTCGGCTTGGTTTTATCCCTGCTTAACTTCTGCGATAGGGTTCTATGTCCCAGCAGCGCTGGTGTCTGAACTCTGGGAGCGACATAAAATACAAGCATGACTAGAGGGGTACCAAAGGTTGCACCCTTTGCCCCACTGCCCCCAACTTTCTTTTCTGAATCAGTTTAACCATAACCATCCCCTGGCTTTTTTCACCCCCTCCAAATCAGCTCTGCCACCAAGTAGATCTGTAACAATAAATCTTGGGCATTAAACCCCACAAGTGTCAACTGCTAGTCAGTCAATGTTCAGTGTCATTCTGACTTCGCTTCTTGGTGCTGGAATGAGCCTATTTACAACAGGTAAGCTACCCAAAGCAGCCAAAACACCAATCAGTTTCTTACCAAGCTGAACTGCAGGTTGCTGGCTAAAAGTATCAAAGGGTTCCGAATGGCCTTCCTGGCCACTGGGCTCCCAAGATTCGCTATTCTCAGATACCTCCGAACTGGCATCGCATGTCCCTTTTTGGCTTCCTGCTTGTTCGCCCGTGCCCGAGTATCGATCTTCGCTTCCCGTGTCAGACACGGCCCGGGTTTCTTCGTCCGCCTTTACAGCAAACCACACCCTAACCTGCTGTGAATTCAGTTGAGTTCTCTCACACAAGCTCTGAAGGTCATCTTCATACAGCATCTTGTGCTTTTTGTAATAGTCCTCTAGGATCTCTTTGCTAGCTGGGCTGATCACTGCTAAACCTGGAGGGAAGATACCCCGCCTGTAGTTCTCATACCATTTCAGCTGGCCATTTTTTAAACCGTACCGGCTATCCCCAAACCAGCGAATTATCTCAGCCCGGGGCAGGCCTGTCTGAGCAACTATGCTGTCGTATTCTTGATTTGTTGGTCGCTGTGTCTTTACGAACATTTGTTTAAGCAAATGCCGCTGTTGGGCTGTTTTTTTAAAGTTCAGTTTGGTTTTTGCGGGGGTAGGTGGCCTGCTAGAACAGTTGTCCCCTTGATCATTTGCACCTACCTCTGGCAATTCATTTTTGCCATTTGACTCAGTCACTCTAAGCTTCTTCAGATTGATTTTAATAGGACTAACTTTCCGCTCCAGTGAAGTTTGATTGCTGCTTGGGGTGTCTAATGAACCATTTTCACTTGAGACCCTCAGTTCATCTGAGGAGTCTTCCTCTTCTCCACAATTATTGTCAGCATCCTCCTCCTCTTGCTGGACCATTTCTTCTGCTTTTTTATTTTCCTCCATCACCTTTTTTTTCCTCCTCTCTGAAAACCAGCTATCAATTTCTCTCCTGGTCATTTTTGTTTCACTCCTCAAACGGTCCACTTCTTCTTCTGGAGGAAAAGGGTTTTGTGCAAAACTGCCTTCCAAAGCCTTGAGCTGGTCTGGTGCTCTCTCTTTGTATTTCGTTGGGGTGAAGTCGGGCGTTTGATGCCAGGACTGTCGCCTTGTTTGGTGATGAGCCACAGGCATCGCTGCTGTCGTAGAGGTTAAGTCAATCTCTTTTGGTGACACAGTGAAGGTAATGTCAGGCATAGAGTCAATAATTATTGTGTTATCTCCAGCAAACATGGCTCTACTGCCTTTCATATTCCTGAAATGATATCTCCTATCACTAAACCACTTTCGAACCTCCCTAGTTGTAAGGCCTGTAATTTTGGTCAGACGCTCAACTTCAGCGTGGCCAGGGAACTGATTCCTGCAGAAGCTGCCTTTCAGTGCAGACAGCTGCGCATGGGACTTCTTATTTTTGTAGATGCTGGGATCCATGAAAGCTTGTGAAGATATGCTTGGGCATGCAGTCAGCAGAGACTGAGCTGTGTTGACCACCTTCACAGCTGATGCGCTGCTCGAACACGCATTGTTGTGTTGCGTAATGGGTTGGAGCTTGGGAATAGATGTCACTGCTAACGTAAGAGACGAGCTGCTTCCTTTTAATCCATTTGTCATTATTGGTTGTGTAACGAGTAACCCTCCCGTTCCTTCTGGTTGCCCGACCATGTGACCAGGTAGAGTTGCCTGAATGAGATGCTGGACATTGCTGGCATTTGCGACTAGAGGTGTATTTAAAACTGTGATAGTGGGCTGCGGTACAGACTGAATAACCGTGTTGAACATTTTTTTCCGTGCATCTTCTATCTCCTCTGGGGACCAGCTAATGCCTTGTTTCAACCTCTGGGCAGTAAACCAGATCTTAAGCTGCTCTTCTGGGTACTTGGTCACGACAGTCAAATAGCAAAGCTCAGCTTTTGTAGGGTAGGGAAACTTATGGAAGGAGTTTTTCAGGAAACTGTTGGAGTCCATGGCTGCATTGTAGGTGGGAATGCTGCTCAGAGGAATCATCACTTTAGGAAGGGATTTGGACGTGGGTAGGTCCTGGTGCAGCTGCGGCTGCTGCTGCTGCAATGACACAAGTTGTGCAACGCCTGCCTGCAAAACAGGCACGTTTCCCAATATGGAGCCATTAACTATGTGAGATGATTTTGCTGAGCTGGCCGTTGACTGGCTGGCTGGCAAAGACCCATTGGTGAATGAATGGTCACCATCTTTCATCGCCAAATCATTGCCTGGCTGATTTGATACATTCTCCTTTAGCATGTGAATTTTTTTGGCCTCAGGCTTACCTTTCATTATCTTCATAATGGGAGTTTTGGTGATGATGATTTCAGCTTGACCATCTACCCCCTCCTCACAGAATTCTCCTGAAAGGTCTTGGTTGCTGGTGGCATCAGAGATACTTTGCTCCACTGTCGTATGATTATCCTGCTTAGCCACATTCCAGAGGAAGCTAGTTTCACCACCGTGGCACTCCGCATTGTGATGCAAAAGCCCTTTGTGGCTTTGTGCCAGAAAACTGCACTCAACGCATACAAACGAGGGGTCTTTGCTGAAGTCTAAGTGCTCAGAATCCATGTGTCCAAAGAAATGATTAACATCTTGAGATCCAAAATCACAATACTTACACAAGTAAGTATCACCGTCCATAATACTGCGATGCCCATTAGACAATGTTGCATTATTGCTGCTATTGTTAATAACAGCATCACCAGCTGCCGGTGGTTCAGGAGGCATGTGCTGTTGAGTTCCTTCATGATCATCTTCCACAGCATCTGATTCCATCTCCTGCAGCACCATTGTTTTTACCGGTATCATGCAAGGAGTTGTGGATTTTCTTTTGCTAGCCATCGCTGCAACCAATCCAGGTAATTAATGCTTTAAAAAATAAAGCGCTGTTCTTTGCAAGTGTTCTGAACTCTAGATTCCAGCAAATCCATGCTGTCCAAAGGAATATTTTTCAAGTGTTGACAAATGTTTACATTTGCCATTGAACCTGAGGAAGAGAAGAGAGAAGAGTTACTAAGCTTTGCACTAGACAGAACACATACACTTTACATTCTGATTGTAATTGTTATGGTACTTTAATTGCTTCACAAGATAAATCATTTCAATATTTAATTGAAAATGTTTGGAAGCTGGCGATAATGAGTTTGATTGTTTTGCTTTTTGACCAAATGATTGTGTAGAAGGGAGAATTAGATATGTGAGCCATACACAGTCATAATATTGAGATCCCGGGCCGCAGTTGGGGGACTTGGGCTGTGTCTGGCTGCTTATTGTTTGCTTGCCCACCGAGTGTAATTCATGTGCTTCCATTATGGTCCAAATCACCACTATTTCTTCATACAGGCTCCTCTCCTGCCTCTGCCCTATCAATCTCTAGCAAGAAGAGGAGCCCCTGAAAGCAGGGGACTACACTGTGCATTAAGTCCAGAGGGGGCCTTGCACGTGGAAATGTCCGATGCAGTGCTGAGCAGAGGGGTAGGGCTACAGTCAGAGTGTTGCACTTTGGCCGTCCTTGCAGTAGTTCACAAAATCTACACCAAATTTGTTAGTGTCTTGTGTCGCTTTTCCCCTCTGGCATGGTTTTAACAGGGTCTGTTTAGTCTTCAGCTAGAGTTGCAAGGGAAGATGGTTCACCAAGAGAGCAACTGAAGTGTACACACTTATCTCTTAGATTCCCTCTCCCATGCCACCCATGAATGCTGCATTGTTGTAGCTTTAAAGGTTCAGACAACTCTATTTAATGGCATTTAGGTGTTCTTTGGGGAAGTGCAAGGCCTCCACAACACGTGGCCATTTTCCTGGGTGCAGGAGATCAAGGAGAGGAAAGAGATGTCACCACAGCATTTTATTGTTTATTTTTTTAAATCTTACTGTGTGTTGTCTTTTCTTCACAAGTTATAGTAATTCTAGATCAAGATAATATTCTGCTGAAGGCTAGAGCTGGACAGGTGTTTAGGCACAATCTTGTCTCTGACCTGGTGCAGTCTGCAATATGCACACCGGATGCTCCATGCCTGAGCTCACCTGCCAAAGGCAGTAAAATGGTCTACGGTAGCTGGCATCATGAATAATTTGCCAAAACTGATCTAGATGAGAAGGGGGATAGCCAATCTGAAGCAGCCCATTTCTCCTCTAACCCCTCTCCAATCTATTACCTACAGCACTTCTCTCATCAACAACACTTAAGTCAACTTATTTGAATTTCAAAACCTTCTACATGGATTATAATATCCATTCTTTTCAAGGGAAAATCTAGATTTTGCATACAAGAATAAAATAGTATTTTCCAGATTGCACAGTCACTTGGAGGTATATGACCACCCAGAGGTGCCGGCTTTTCAAAGTGCCGGTGGTACTCCCAGCTCTGCCCCAGGCTCCACCCTCACTCCCCCCTTCCCCCAACGTCCCATCCCTCCCCGCCTCACTTTTTCCTGCTCAGTTCTGCCCCCTCCCCCGAGCGCGCCGCATCCTCGCTCCTCCCTCCTCTCTCCCAGCCTCCTGCACGCCATGGAACAGTTGATTGTGGTGGATGGGAGGCACGGGGAAGGAGGCGGAGGCACTGACCTGCGGGGCCCACCGGCAGGCAGGAGGCGCTGGGGAAGTGGGGGGGGGGAGCTGACAGAGGGGCTGCCAGTGGGTGCTTAGCACCCACCATTTATTCCCCAAGGGTGCTCCAGCCCCAGATGACCCACGGAGTCGGCGCCTGACCCATAGTACCTACTACACAGAGATTTTGTGCCAGACTTTACCAAGATTTACAGTAACACAGAGATATTTATAAAAACACTAATTAAAGTAGATCTTGAAAACTGACATCCTCCTATTAGAAGATCCAGGTAAGTAATTACTGTCAGTTATAAGCAATGTGAACTGGCAGTCTACCAGCTTTCTTATCAGATTTTCTGTGCTGATGTCATGCACAGAAACATGGGGATCAGGTGAATAATTTTCTTAGTACTTATGCAAAACCTGCTTTTACTTTTCTTTTTTAATTAATTGCTTCAGATATGGATGAGGAAGGATCCTAATTTAAAGTTCAGCTGAAGAACTAGCATTTAACTTCTGCAAGTTCATCAAAAATAAGTAAATCTCCACACCTTTGGAAAAATAAGCTAGATATAACAGAGTCTGGATGTCCAGTCCTATCCTGAGCAACACTCATGCACAATTTAAAACACTCTGATAAGAAACTCTAACTTGTGGGTTGGTTTGAGATTACAAAATAGTGCTGAAATACCGTTAATGAGCATTGAACTTGGCCCCAGAACTGACCGTGTGCTCTGCAAAAGCTGTAGGAAAAGCTGGAAGTCCAAAAGGCATGATGGATGCTATGATCTTGATCTTCTGTAGTGTGAATTCCATATTATCAATACCTGTTTTTGTGAGGTTTCTATCCCACCTTTTGGGGATGCCCTTTCCCTGTGCAAAGGAGCAGCACGTTCTTTATTAGCACTAGTGAGCAGAATACTTAGGTAACCAAGAGTTTTGCTATTCAGCAAAGACCTGAATCCAATCGCCACCTACTCCCAATCCTAATTTCTGATGCCTCGTTATTTGACACGTGTGAGGTTAGGATGACCTTTCTAAGTCAAGTCAATTAGGAATGACAACAAAAATAGCCACAAAACTATAAAAAGATAACGTTAAAGGCCGCGCGTGTTGAGTCAGAAACAACTGTGAAAATGAGCCTTCTTACTGCCCAGATCTGCTTTTTGTCTACCTACTCAGTTTGCTGCATGAAGTTTTCATTATTTCTTACTCCTGTTTGGCTCTGCGGGGCCAACTCAGCTGTGGGAGACAGATCTGGAGTCTCTGCAAGTTTGTGCATCTTCAGCAGAATTATTAACCGAGTTCTAGTTACAGAATCTCTATTATTGGAGATTATGCAAGAGCCAGAAAGTCATGTTTGCAGAGTTGGCAGACAGATAAAAATCACCTTTTTAATTATCAGCTGAGTAAATTTGATACAAAGTGATTGAAACATACAAAGAATATCATTGTGCCATTTTACAGTCACCTTTTAGAGCAGGTAATCAGCACTGTTTTGCTAAAACTGAATTGCTTGACCCACCTGCAGAGGAATCAATAGCACTGCTTGATGCTTATAAAGTGTCTGTACGTACTTCAGCATTTTACCCAAACAAACTTTGCTAGGATCACAGCTGAGGACACATCTAGATTTCCGGTGTCATAAAAGTCATGTTTTGGTTCAGACAAATATTAACTTAATATAAGACAACAGAGTGTAAATTTAGCTTGAAATTAAGGATGGTGGTATTTTACTAGACAAATGTAATCAAGTGTACTGTAAGTCAATTTCCTTAGAGCAATTACATAAAATTCAATAAAGACAAGTGCAAAGCACTACACTTAGGATGGAAAAACCAAATGCACAACTACAAAATGGGGAATAACTGGCTAGGTGGTAGTGCTGCTGAAAAGGATCTGGGGGTTATAGTGGATCATAATTTGAATATGAGTCAACATGTGATATGGTTTCAAAAAAGGCTAATATCATTCTGGGCTGTATTAACAGGAGTGTTGTATGGAAGACATGGGAGGTAATTGTACCACTCTGCTCAGCACTGGTGAGGCCTCAGCTGGAGCACACTGTCCAGTACTGGGTGCCACCCTTTAGGAAAGACGTGGATAAATTGGAGAGAGTCCAGGAGAGGGCAATAAAGGGTTTAGAAAACCTGATTTATGAGGAAAAGTTGTTAAAAACTGGACATGTTTAGTCTTGAGAAAAGAAGACTGAGCGGAGGAGGGACCTGATAAGTCTTAACATATGTTTAAGGGCTGTTAGAAAGAGGATGGTGATCAATCTTTCTCCCATATCCACTGAGGATGAGCAAGAAGTAATCAGCTTACTCTGTAGCAAAGATGATTTCGATTAGATATTCAAAAAAACTTGCTAACTCTGATTGTTAAGCTCTGAACAGGCTTCCAAGGATGGTTGTGGAATCCCCATCACTGGAGGTTTTTAAGAACGGGTTAGACAAACCTGTCAGGGATGGTCTCGGCTTACTTGGGCCTGACTCAGCACAAGGGGCTGGACTAGTTGACCTCTGAAGGTCCCTTCCAGCCCTACGTTTCTATGATAACCCCACTAGACTTAATTCAGAGTCTCAGATGCAACTGAGTCGTGTATTGACTACATCAAATTGTTAAGAGCATGGTTGTGGTTCCTGTGCATTTTATAGAATCTGCTAATAATCTTGTGTGCATTTCCAGTGTGATAGGTAAATGGGGTATCCTACAGATTCTATCATTAAACTAGGCAAGCTTTATTTTTCAACTGTGTTGGTTAACGTAATAGTGAATCAACCACTGTTAAAAAAAATCAGTACAAAAACAGAACTTACCTTACTACCACTTTGGATGTTTCAGACTGAGTCATGCATTCAAATGGGATCTTTGTTTCACATATACTACCCTACAGCACACTGGCCTGTTGATGGAAAGTAGCAATGAAACGTTAGCTGAATGAAATACAAGCACCAGAGTTATGAAGATAATGAAACAATGACTTCTGCTTCCATAAAGGTTGTCTACTGATGTTTAATATACTCCTTCGTAATACATACGTAAGTAAGGGAGCACAAGCCACTGCTTAACCTCCCAAGTACTTAAACACTTTTCCTTTGAACAGTTTTAATTAGTTTTCCTTTAAACACAATTCTCCAGGGTGAAACTGGCCCAAAACAGTCAAATTCACACCACATCAATTATTCTTGCACCAGAGCTGATGATACAGTAGGGTAATCACTGCTTGTCCGCATAGTGTTGTATCAATTCAATTACAGTAGAACCTCAGAGTTACGAACACCTCGGGAATGGGGGTTGTTCATAACTCTGAAGTGTTTGTAACTCTGAACAAAACATGATGGGGGTTCTTTCAAAAGTTTACAACTGAACATTGATTTCATACAGCTTTGGAATTTTACTATGCAGAAGAAAAATGCTGCTTTCCCTTTATTTTTGTAATAGTTTACGTTTAACACAGTACTGTACTGTATTTGCGTTTTGGGGGAGGAAGGGTTGTCTCTGCTGCTGCCTGATTGCGTACTTCCAGTTCCAAATGAAGTGAGTTACTTTGTAACTCTGGTGTTTGTAACTCTGAGGTTCTACTGTATATCAATTTCAAAACTGACAGTTAAAAATTGGTACGACCCCTGCAGCATAAAGGTGCTTCTATTGTTAAAGTTTGCTACCGCTGTATAAGCACTTTTATATTGGTATAACTCCGTCCACACTAGGGAGTTGCACAGACTTCTCACTGTACTGGTTTCTAAATGCACATAGTGAAATTGCTATCAACACTGTGTGTAGATTACGAATAGATGAAAATCTACTCAGCAAGTTATTCTTGGCTTTGCTTAATTTTTGGCCAGGCCTTTTAAGCCAGCAGTGGTTTACACCAGCAATGTATCATCAGCTCAGGCATAGGCAGACTTCACAAAATAAGCTGTTCAGTAGACTAGTATTGTGGCAACTAACTGATGCTCAGGTCTGGTTCAGCAGGGTGGTGTGGTAGGAAGACTGCATTTTAAAATGCTCACACCCTAGGATCTAAACAATAGTAATTATGTAAATATCTGTATTAATTTTAACGATCACTCGAAAAAACAATACTGCTGCTATAAGCATAACCGCTTTCTTCCATTCTCTCTGTCACACACAAACAACCCACTACATTGTCTTATTATTATTTTGCTGGCTTTTTGCATGTTCGTGTCCTTGTTTACAAGGAAAACAATGTCTAAAGACCAATTATAAACTGTGTTTTACAATTTCAGAGAGCTTACTTTTATACATATTAACAAAAGAAGGCTTAAAAGGTTTCAAACTATGCACTGGTGGGTCTGAACTTTCCGCTTTTCTCGGCTCAGCTGGATTTAACTGGTTTGGTTTTAAATGTTTCAGTGAATTAATGAGTTAGGCTGTTTAATACAAAACATTCATCCCACACAATGCCAAGGTCCTCAATTAGAAGATTAATTTGTGACCTTCTGCAAACCTTGCCCAGAAATGAAAAATTAATGCACACCATAACTAAATGTTGGAGCTATTATCTTACTGCTGGAATCCAAAAGGTGGTAAGACAACCACCTCATTCCCACCACTAGAGTTACAGACCTCTCAACAGTCCCAGGTTTCACAGGATTGTCCCACTTCGACCCCAAAACCTCTTGTCCCAGTTGAAGGGAACATTTCCCACAATCAAGGCCACTGGTGGGGTGCAGTTTCCCTGGGGCCCCCATTTGAAAGAGCCCTCCAAACTGAGTGGCATTGTGACCTGGTGCAAGGGTTGCACTGTCACTCAGGCTTGGCCCAGCTGCCCCTCTGTCTTCATCTACAGAGAGGCAGATGGGACAAACCAGTGTGGGGTTGTGTCCTGCTTTAAACACTTGAAATGTTGGGAGCTGTGGAGTTAAGGTTGTGACAATGTTTACTTTAAAAAAATAAAAAAGATAATACACACAAGTATCTTCTTTTTAGAGTACTGTGATTTGGACAAAGAAACTTGCTCTGAAATTTGACATAGCTCAGTCTGAGCACAAATGGTCTATTAAAAAAAAGAAAAAGAAAAAAGAATTAATGGTTTTCCTGATGCTTTATGGGCCTGTTAGCTACTTTCTCAAGGCCAGGCTTACTCTTCCGGTCTTGTTCAAAACCAAACACATGATTGGTTCTTTAATAATAATAATAATAGTATTATTTTTAAACTAAAAATGTGCAGGTCCCTGATTCACATAGTATTATGGATATGTTTTAAAGGAAGAAGGCTATCTTTAAAGCAGGAAGAAGTTTACATTTAAGAAGTGTTTACTGTGTTCCTTCAACAAGCTATAGTATTTTATTCATAGATCCATATACTACTTTGAAACAATTGAAAGAGGTGCGTCTCCCCAGTATGTATCCAGATGTCCATCAGTAATCAGCAATATAAAATAGCATGAATAAAGGACTGCTGGGATCAGCCAGCAAACATTCCTACCGCGGTGTGTATCCAGACCTAATACACAGGTTACCCAGGTGTTACTAAAATGAAATGTTTTATGGAAATACTACCACTTTAAGAAGCAAGTTTATCCAGGCATACCAACCTCTCTCAAACACTGGCCTTTGGTCTCGCAACACGCTCCGGAGGTGCGCAGATAACCTGGCATAACGGCTGTGTTACAGCTAACTATTTCAGTCCATCAGACAGAGACTGACCTCGTTTACTTAGTCACTCCGTAGGGTGAGAGAGGGACCGTAAGTGCACATGTGCTACAGAGCTGGCATCCTACATGTCTATCAGCTGAGCAGGTTCCAGGATCTGTTCTCTACAGTTAGTCATTAACATTTGTTTTGCATTTGCAATCAGCCCATGACAAATCATGTAGGAGGTCACTAGTCAGATTAATTATCCTCCTCACTGCCAGTGCACACACCATTGAGCTGAGTGGGAGAGGGGGCTGGTGAAGACTATTGAATTTCCAGACAGATAAGCGATGGAAGGATAAAGTTAAGGCCTGGTCTAAACACAACAAGCGGCTCCAGTTTAACTCATCAGTTTTTAAACTCTGTGTAGAGCAGGCCTAAAATAGATACAAAGAAACATCCGAGTTAACACCCAGTGAGGTGAGTGGAGGTATTTCACACCTCAGGGGTGAGTCCCGAGACTTCCTGTTGTCTGTAGCCACAGGTGGGGGCTCTCAGTTAGCTGAACCCACATGGTTCTGTAGTGCAGATGGAGAGTGCAGATGGTGAGCGAATATGTACCCCTCTTGAATTTTTCAGAGCTCAGCTTCCGGCACAGCAAGGATTTTCAAACCCTGAGACTGGAGTGGAAATCACCTGCTCCTGCACATTGGGCTGTGAAGTCTGAGTAGCAGGTGACAGAATTCTTCCTTCCCTCCGAAGGCCCAGAGACAAAGCCAAGAATCTGGGCTTTGGCAGTGCACAGGGGAAGACAACTCTGAATGGGATCACACTTGGAAGGTTATCTTCACAACCACAAGCACTAGACATATTGCTATTTTAGAGCTGAAAGTTCTGCAGAAACTGGTAGGCAAGACCCCATGCACTGGGGGACGTTCCAACTTAGCACAGATCCTGGACATTCTGTGTCAAGCCTTGTTTGGAATTCTGGATTATCTTTATCTAGGGCAGGGGTGGGCAAACTTTTTGGCCTAAGGGCCACATCGGGGTTGCAAAACTGTACGGAGGGCCAAGTAGGGAAGGCTGTGCCTGTCCAAACAGCCTGGCCCCCACCCCCTATCCACCCCCTCCCACTTCCCTTCCCCTGACTGCCCCCCTCAGAATCCCCGACCCATCCAACCCCCCCTGCTCCTTGTCCCCTGACTACCCCAACCCCCATCCACACCCCCGCCACCTGACAGGCCCCCCAGAATCCCCTGTCCCTTATCCAACCTCCCCCCGGCTTCCCACCCCCTTACCGTCCGGAGCCACCCACACTGCCGCGCTGCCCGGTTGCAGGGGAGGGGAGACAGCAGGGGAGGGGCCAGGGGCTAGCCTCCCCCGCCGGGAGCTCAAGGGCCGGGCAGGACGGGCCTGTGGGCCGGATGTGGGGCCTGTACATCTTTGGCATCCACTATTAAGAGGGAAGTAAAGGGCTCTGGGGGAGAATCAGGTTGAGGCTGACATTGTTCTGCAACCCAGAATCTATACCCTGAGAACAGAAGCCTGTAACATAAAAATATCAGAGAATATTTAATTCAAGATCTGTTTAACCCTCTGAGGGACAGCTAATTACATGAATGTCTGATCAGCAACATTTCCTCTGACAAATCACACCTACTTCATTGTGCTAACATCACATCCACTTAAAATCAGGATACCTGCAAAATAAATCATCCCCCCAAGACAAACCATCAGGGCAATAACAGCTTGATTGTATCTTATCTTGCATTATAAACGCACCCTAGGTTCTCGCGGTTTCAAGCAACATCACACAAGTCAACATTTGTGCTAAGGAATAAACAAACAATTTTTCTTTATGCCCAGTGTTCGGGGCGCTTTGTAGTTTAAGCCTGGCTTTGAAAATGCATGTCCAGTTTACAGGCAGTGGAAAATGGTTGACTGAATCATCGTATTCATTCTCTATTAGTTGGCAGAATAGAGTAGAATAGAGCTATTCTCATTTGGACAGGTTGAACAAAGCCATTCATTTACATTTTGGTCCGTCTAAGCGCAACCGTATTTGGTCACGTAAAACAAGTGTTTAAGAGGAATCCTCTCTGTTACCTTGCAATCATTTTTGTTTACCCATTTCAAGCCGCTTTTATTCTTACGCCATCATCAGCTTATGAACTGCAGTGTGTGACTGTGATCAGGTCCCTCCAAAAACGTCAACAACTTGTTAGTGGCTTTGTTAGTTGTGAAGAAACTTATACTCTGCATTAACACTGCGGATTATCTTCTGTTTTTCAGAGGAACATG